CTTCGCCGACAGAAATTGTCGACCTGGCACGGGAGGCTAGAGTGGACGAGGAGGAAGCGGCAGAGCAGAGGGAGCTGATAAATCTAGATCGATTTCGGGACATGGATCTTGCACCGATAAAGACTGTCATGGAGGGCGGACCAGCTGGCGACTTGATCATGTGCGGAACTCCTGCGAAAGCCAGTGACAAAGCCCTCTTTCTCCAAAGCGCATCGGATGCCGTGGACTCCGAGATGGAAGATTGGATCGACCTACCACGCCCGCAGTCCAGACTGCCTTCACCACGTCGACCAAACTTACTTGTCGAGCAGGAAGAGGAGAATGACGCCGATGTTGAGGAGTCAGATAGTACATCTGATCCAGAGGATCAGCAGCTCGCTGGCCTCCAACGATACCCTACTTTCATCACTGTCATCAGCATGATACCAGCGGCTATCTTCTGGGCTACTGCTGCATCAGTCGTTGACTGTAGTACCAAAGCATTCGATACACTCATCGAGAAGCTGACTGGGCTAAAGGTCTAGAGTGGGACTGGGCTCCAGTGCAACACCATTACTGTGTTTCCAAGAAGGGGACCACTAGGAGGAAATCGCGCGCTGCATGATTGGAATGAAGTATGATATATTAAGTAGATGGCCATGAGAAACACATTGCTTTTCGAGACCTCGGATCCGCATCCTAATTCTGCCTGTCGCTGTGCAACACCGTTACTATGCGACTCAACGCCACCCAATGCAAATCGTATACACCTTCCTGAACCAACAAACCCTCCGTACTGTTCTATACCACGCTGTTGAAGCGTCCCGAACTAGCTCTGATCACAATCAAAGACCACCAAGAGATCTTTATTTTTGGTTCTCTCAATCATCCTCTTCCCCACAGGCCTTGCAATTGAGTAATTGAAAGGCACTGCTGAGAAGAGGACGCTAACCGTCACCGGGAATTCCTTTCGCCCTCTTCTCCTTCGCCATCGACCTCGTCATCCCCGTCGTCGTTGCCGCGACCGTCGTAATCCGTTAGATCGTCGCTCATGATGTGTAGTATTTGGCTGAACGTTCTGCTCTTCCATCGGCCCATGCCTTCCATGAGGTCTGAACAATGTAGCAGAGTGCGGCGAGCAGCAAGATAGCCACCTTCCAGTGCGATTCCCGTTATGCTGAAGCTGCCGCCGCGGTGTATGAAGTTGACGACTTGGGTAGCGTCTCCGAACCCTATGGGCGATTGTGGCGTATCGATGAAGCCGAGTTGGCCGACGGAGATCCAGTCTACAAGGTCGAGGAGTTCAATGCAAGAGTCGCTCATGGGTCTGTTGTCGGTTGGTGGGAGGGCGAAGATATACAGGCCAAGGACGAGGGCGGCGTGGAAGAGCGCGACTACGCTGTGGGGGTTGACGATGTCGCTGACTTTGCGGTCGAAGAGTAGCTTGTAGATGTGTGCAGCGTGCAACACGCTCCTTCTCGCGCTTGGTGTTTGGCACCACATCGAGATGTCTTCTAGAGCGTTGACGGCAGGCTCGGGACCGGAGCGTCCTGCTGCGAGTTCGAAGTAGCGTATGTTTGCTCCAAGGACCATACAGGAGGCGTGCCAGAGGACGGCGGAGTTCAGATCCGCAGTACGAAGTGCGTCGATTGAAGAGCCGGAGAGGTTCACCAGCAAGGGAAGGATATCTCGACTCCGGGCATCTTCGGCGTATATCCGCCAAGGCTCAAGCTGCTTCTGGTTTCCTGTCGCGGGAGCAAGCCTGTCATTGCTCTCATAGATTCGCAGTAACAGGAGAGTCAGTAATGATCGGAAGCTTGATGCGTCGAGCTTTAAGCCTGGGGTCGGATGGAACGATGGTGTTATCCTCTGTGAGTGTATCCTCGCACCGCGCTGTACGAGATGGAACCACTTCGCCGCACTGTTGACGTGGTAGAGCGAGTAATCTGAGGGCGGCAGAATCTGGACTGTCTCGGGGCGAATCATTGGTGCTGTCGAGAGGTAGCCTGCCCACCAGCAGTCTGCTTCGATAAGACCAAAGATGATGCGTTTGCTGCATTCGACCTTTGACCAAGCCTTCCATTTTGAGTCGATATCGATCATCTCATCCAAAAGAGTATCTATCTTCACGCCCTCGTTGGCGGAGAAGAGACCTTGGCTTTGCGCAAACTAAGAGAGTCAGTCATGTTCGAAAGCGTGGTACAAGCGGCAACATACCCCGATAAGCTCGGCATACATCTTCTCTGCCTGCGCGATCCGACTTTTCCGCTACGTGAACGTTAGCTCATGACTTGCATGATCGATAATTACTACCTACTCCGGTGATGGAGGCTAGATTCAGGGCTAGCAAGCTAGTGGCAATGATCCGCATTTGCCGATGCGGCGGATGATCTGTTGTTGGAAGGGTCTGTAGCTCGGCCAACGCGAGTTGTAAAACAGCCTTGTCAAGGGTCAGTATATGTGAGATGTACAGCTATCGCATTGCTTACCGGGAATGTGCGAGTGACAAACTTGGCTGCACCTGCGGTACCAAGAATGCTCAGGCCGATGAGACACATGCAAAGTAGTAATGGTCGTGGCGCATTCTTTGCAGAGAACGTCGGAATGTGGATAATCGGAAGGGTTGGGTGGAAGTAGTAGAGATACATCTCGAGAGCGATGTCCAAGATCTCAGCGGGGGGAAATTGTACACCCTCGATGCTCGGACTTCCTGCGGCATCACCGCTCGAAGATGCAGTGTCGCCATATGATTCAGATCTTGGTGGATTAGATGCCGGTAAGTTGTGCAAGGCGCTTTGAAGTCTGCCTCTGCACTCCTCGTCTAATCCCCATCGCGAGTTCCGCCGCTCCCTTTCACTCATGGGCGTTTCCATAGCTCCAGAGCCGACCTCCGACAGTATGTTGGTACATTCACACGCTACAAGGTTCTGCCACAGATCGGGCATAAGCCGGGAGGATTTGCGATTCCGGGAGGGCCAACAACTTTGGACTCGCTGGAATCGTTCTCGCGGCACTCTGCTTGCTATTGAAACACTGCTGCCCGATGGACTGGCCTGGTTTTCTGGGAGTGCTTGGAATGCTCCGTGCTCGAAAAAGCCTTCCACGCCGAGGTGATGCGATCCTTGGGGAGTGTTCATATCGCCCTCAAGCGGAAATAGCCACGTTTGTAACGCATCCGCAGGAGTGCGGTTGGGGACTGGGTTGTTGCTTTGAACGAGTTCGAAAGCCCACTGGTCCAAACTTGAGACATGGCCAGCTGGCGAGAACGAGAGCGCTTCCATAGCTGGGTCGATAGGTGGACCCATACTCTCATGAGGATTTCGATTTGACATCTGAACATTCTCGGCACGCGCAATAATCATAGGCGATGGTGACCGCCAGGGTGTGTCTGTTCCAGGCTCTAGATGTTGGGCCGCGTTGATCAGCGCTTCGATCCGGTCCTCACCGGGTGACGGCGGTTGTAACCGCGATGAAGAATGACGGCCATCCGTGGGAGGTGATAGATGCGCATTGTAGTGGTTATTCACATTGATCTGCGGTATTTGCGACTCTCTCCTCCTGGACATGGGCGAGAAGTTGGAGTCTTCGCGGATCAATGGTGTTGCTGCTGGAGTCGGGCCGTTTACGTTCCGTGAGGCAGATGGTCGTGATGTTTGATTCTCGTCCATGGAGTTGTGTCGGAACTCTTGCTGGTCGTTGGTGTTTTGTTGTTCATTGCTCTTCATCCGGTTCATCGCATTCTGCGCATGGCCTTTGCAGTGCCGAAACAGGACATCGCTATATGAAGAGGTTGGACGCTAGTACGGAGGTTTTTCATTGGGGGCCTCACCTGCGCGAGAAGTGCTTTTTGCATGTCGGGCACTCATAGGGGCGCTCTCGTGTGTCTGAGATGGTGTTTAGCTCACGGCTGATGATGGAGGTTTGAGATGGACGAACGGGACCGCTCGTGCCGCTTCACGTGCTCTACTGGAATCGGGGTCAGTACACTGTCTACGCGCGTTCGGCAGCCACGTACACTTGGTGAATGTGCGATCGCACATGCTGCACTGCTTTAACGCCATGTCGCTCGTCGCAAAGATTTGATGTGTTGGCTGATGATCGGAGGACCCTTCGCAGGCCGGAGTCTGCAGGTGCTGTCGGTCGCCAAGCGATCGCGGCTGCGGGGGAAAGCAAGACCATGACTCGGCCTAAGCATTATAGGCTCATCTCAACTCATCTACAAAATGCATATAAACCTGCAATCCTGCTGCTGCAGATTGCGCCGCGCGCACATCTGCGCACCCGAAGACTACAGCTGATCCTTACGTTGGTGGTCCATAGTCGCCGCTTGGAGATACCTCCGGCGCTCGGGACCCTCATCTGATCGCCAAACACCGTACCAGCTCCTAGCACCACCGATCGCTCCGTGCCTTATCACGGCCGTTGGATGACGAGGTAAATGCTCCTTTGAATCGCCCTCAAATTACCAGACTTCTCGAAGGATTTCGTCCTACACCAACCCCGGATCGACTCGCATGTGGGACTATGAGGCGTACGCTAGTGGGGCCTCCCCTGACTGCTGACCGTTGTTGGAATCATCCACTGTCTCATTCGCCTCATTAAGGTGGCTAGCTGTGCTTGATCTGGTGCGCAGAATCAATCAATTGCTACTTTGGATATCGGCTAGTTGCGTTTTGTTGCGTCAATCTTCCGCTAGAGGGTCGCACATCAGACAATGGCGTCTCAGATAAGTAATCAACTAATCGACACTGAATCGCCACAACCACAGCGTCAGGTACTAGCAAGTTCGTGACATGTCTTTGCCTAGCTCGACGAGATTGTGAGGCTGTATAGTATTGGATGTTTGGTCAATACGCAGGGGCATGCAGTTGGCCATGGTTAGATACCCTCTGCCTTCGGCGGTATGTTGAAGACTCCGATATCAATATTAAAAATAGGCAAGCGAAGCACATCATCCTGAGCAGAACGGAAAGTCGGAGATCATTCGCACCGATACTTCCATTTTCAGAACACGAGGATGTCTATGCCACCTTGGCGAACATGTCCAACACTGCGGAATACACCACCAACAATACGCCACCACCAGGTCCAAACCTTAAGATCTTCGCCACATAGCCCTTGTACAACGCTCTGAACCCTTCTTCCCTCGCAACAACCCCCAAGCTCGGCCACGCCCAAGCGTACTTCTGCCTTACACCAGGCGTCTTGGCAACGCTCTGTATACGACTCTTGACAACATCTAGTGGTGTGTTGAACGTCGTCCCTACAACACCTCCTACGAACCCTGCTATGAGGTCGTTCCCCATCTTCTGCTTTCTTGGATTGCTCGAGGTTGCCGGGGCAGGCAGCTGAGCCCGTACCTGGAAGATGCAGCCAAAGTACCCGGCATTCCATACTATATGTCGCCATAACGTGGCTTCAAAGCCGTTGTACAACGCCAATGGACCTTCTTGGCGGACTACCTTGACAAGACAGTCGAGCAGCCCATTGTAGCGTGACGCAGATGTCTTGTCTTGAAGTCGGATCTTGAGGAGCTCGAAGGGAACGACAACAAGAGACTCGGTTGCGCCAGCGCTGGCACCGGTGAGGATGGCGAGAGGTTGGGTCAGGCTTGGGGCTGAGAAGAGGCGTTGATAGAACTGCGTGAAGGAGTCATTTGCGGAGAACTTGATAGCACTGTTTTCAATCAGTCGCAATCGACGAAGACATGCAATCGGGTCGTACCGCTTGGGAACCTCCATCAGTATAGGAGCAGTGATGCCGCGATATAATCTTGATACACCTTCATTGCGAATGATCTTTCGGAAGCAGTCCAGAACACCATTGTACCCTTCACCATCGATAACTTTGCCACGCTGAAGCTGGATTCGTGTTTTGACTACATCAAGTGGGTACCTATCTACATCCTTAGCACTCTCTTCTGACCTCCGATACCAAGACAATCTCACATTACCAAAATCTCCGATATCCCAGCTACAGCCCCAGCAGCAAACTGATAGCGGAAAGGCAGTGGTGCTGCATCGTTGTCATTGCCAACGGTAACATTCTTGGTCGCCATCTTGAAAACACGTACTCTGTACTTTCACGCGTTCAGCACGCCGTTACCAGCCATGCAGCCCTTCCACCATCCACCACACTACCAGTACGCCTCCCATCCCCACTACCTCCATGATTCCACACGAACGGCTCTTGCAATATCAAGACCACATGGCACATGCAGGGCACAATACACCCGCGATATGGCCAAGAGCACGTCGCGTGAAGGACGTTGTGGGGTGCATGGCGATGGCGCATGTGGGGCCAGGCGTTCCGGTGAGATGTGGGGCCTACGCGAAACGTCACTTTGCCGACAATCGACACGCGGCTCAGGAAATTTTGGTGGCTGACTCTCGGACAGTTGCGTCCCAATGCGTCGGAAGAATCGGACCTCGGAGATGAAATTGTCTGAATCATGTGAGGACGTGTGTGCTCGCGCTTGGTACTCTAGTTGTTTGTTTTCGGACGCGTCTTCGCGATGGGAATTTGGAATACTGGGTACGCGACTACTACGCCACCGTCTATGCGACTACTTTCTTCTCTCTCAGCTCTCTGATACCGGCCTCGTCGTACCCCAGTACGTCCCTCAATATCTCATCCGTATGCTGACCCAACAACGGCGGCGGACTCCTGATCCGCGGCTCTGCTCTCGAATATTTGACCGGATGATTGACAAGCTTCACCTTGCCTACAGCAGGGTGCTCAACCTCTTCGATCATATTACGCGCAAGAACATGCTCGTGCTCGACCGTGCCCTTGATGTCGTTGACAGCTGCGTATGGCATCCCGCTTCCCTCGAAGATCTCCAACCATTCCTGCGTTGTCTTGGTCATGAGCTCGGCCTCTACGAGCGTGTCGATCTCGGTACGGTGCTTGACACGGAGCGCGTTCGTAAGGAAGCGGGGATCGGTTTTCCATTCTGGACGCTGTAGCTTATCGCAGAGAATGCCGTACAGGCGGTCGTTGCAGCCGCCGACTGCGATGTTGGTGTCTTTTGTCTTGTAGGCTCGGTAAGGTACTACTGTTGCTATGGTAGAGTCAGCATGGCCATTCTGGCACATAGTTCATGTATGCGCTCACCGTGTGCAGTTCCCCATCGTCCGCTATCGCCCTTCCCTGTCACCAGCGCGCTGCTGGCGATGTTTGCCAACCCCGCGACCTGTACGTCGCTCAAACTCGCGTCGATCCACTGACCTAAGCCGGTCTCTTTCCGCGAATACAACGCTGCTTGTATGCCGATCGCAGTGTACATCCCGGTCATGATATCCGTCACCGCCACGCCGACCTTGACTGGGGGCCCGTCGCGCTCGCCAGTGATATGCATCAAGCCCATCTCGGCCTCAACCATGACGTCGTAGCCCGCGCGGTCGCGGTATGGCCCTGTTTGCCCATAGCCGGTGACAGACGCGTATATCAGAGAGGGATTGAGCTTCGCAAGCGTCGCGTAGTCGAGCTGGTACTTGGCGAGTGATCCGGGGAGGTAGTTTTCGACGAGGACATCGCACTCTTGGGCTAGTCTATGGAGGATGGAGATACCGGTGGGGTTGTTGAAAGCGAGTCCGACAGACTTCTTGTTGCGATTCACCTGCATGTTGTCAGCAATATGAACAACATAGTTGTGCTGCAAGTCGTACAGAAAGATAGTATGCGCTTTCGCCGGGGAATTGACGCTCGACGCCATCGGTGTAGGGCGCATCTGGTGGACCCCAAGATCTCGTGTCGTCGCCTCTTGTAGGATGCTCGATCTTGATAACGTCCGCTCTGAGCGCTCATCAGCATATGTGATGTATGAGTTTACGTCTACTGCCTACCCCAGATCTCCAAGAATTTGTGTACAGTATGGCTACTTGATGTTAGCGACCATGAGCCTCCGGCGAGGAAACATCTACGTACTCCTGCAAGCACCCGCGTCATATCCAATACTTTGATGCCAGCCAAAGGTAGTTTCTCAACCATATGCTTGTCTACATCGCTCTTCGTCGCAATGTTCCTCCTCCATGTTTGCGACGTTCGACTCGCGATCCGATTAGCTGCATGTCGAAAGTGTGCGCATTGTGCCGCTTTCGCGACATTTCCAAAGTAATACATTGTCTTACTCCAGACCTGCCATGCCAACACGCAGTCATGTTAAAGAATACGAGCATAACTTCTTGAAATTCCTTGCCCCACATGACGCTTGTGGGGTCGGCAAAGGGTATGGAGTGTGAATGCACAGACGTTTCTAGTTCGCTATGCCAAAACTTGCGATGCTCATTGTGTGGAATTGGAATTATCGTGTACATGTAGTATCGGAGAATGCAAAATTACATCGCTAAAACGCCTATAACGCTCAAGACCGTGAAAACAAAGGCCCAATCATGCGTGGACGCCGTTCGTCCCGTTGGTCTTTGATTCGGGGCTCAGATATTGCTTGAGCTCCTCCGCGTGAACACCATCTGTATCGCTGGTGTTTGCGCCATGTGAAAAGCCACCAAAGTAGTATGGTGCAAGCCTCTTCTTCTCAGCGATCTTGTCGTCTTTGATCCGGGCAAGCAACTCCTGGGCTCTCTTGTTGGCGGAGAAACGGTCGGGAAGAGCATCCCAGACCTTGTAATCGGTACCGTGGGTCTCGATTGTTCCGCAGCCTTTACGAGCGTACTCAGTAAAGAGGAATAGACGGCTTGATTCGACCATGATGGTCAATTGTTCTAAGAGGTTGTTAGTACGTATGACCACTCGGCGATGCGGTTAGCTTACCAGTCAGTATCTTCTCGGGCTGGCTCTCGTGTATCCGCATGCCGTGCTGGTATCCCTCATGGAATCCACCGTGAGGCGTGTGGCCACCCTCGAAACTACCACCGCCGGGCTGGAAGTCGTCGCTTCGTCCAAGACCTTGTCCGTACAAACAGGCAAGGAATTCTGACGCGGAATTGCGGTGGAAGTATGGTAACCTGAAAGTGTTGGTCGCAACATCCCATCTTGGGCCGAACCAGAGGAAGTCTGCGAGTGGTGTCATGGGATCGCGGGATTTAGCTGTGAGCACTGTGAAGATCGAAGGATCAGTGTGGTCGATAGATGTGCTGTTCTGTGACGAGAACTTCGTCAGATCGTATTTGTACGGTACGACATTGCCGTGCCATGCGACAAGGTCGAAGGGGCTGTGGTCTTGTTGGATCGCGACGAGCTGACCGTTCGTCTTGTTGACAATCTGCCAATCGACGTGCAGATCATCATCGATAGCAGCTACCGGGTAGAGGAAATCGCGAGGATTGGCAAGACCGTGGCCGCCTAGTGGGCCGAGATCAGGAAGCTCCCACATAGAGCCCCATACTTCTGTGATGTAGCCACGCGCCACTGGCGTACCCGGTGCTAGATTGAGGCAGAAGCGGATGCCGCGCTGGATGACACAGATTTCACCGGGCTGTAGGAAAATCTTGCCCATCTCTGTCTTGATATCTAGATTACCCTGTTGGGCACAGATGAGGAAGTCACCGTCGGTATTGCAGAACGCTCGCTGCTCCATACTAGAGTTAATCATATACACGTATAGCGCAAGACCCTCCTTGATGTTTGGGTCTCCGCTACCGCAGAGAGTATGCAGGCCATCCGCGAAGTCAATCTTCTCGTCGTCTTTTGGCAGTGGGAACGGACGCCATTCTGCTTGCTCGGGAAGCGTGTCGACCTTGGGATTGATGGACAAGAAGCAGTTTGTGATGTTGGACTTTGTCTCGATAGGAACGTAACCCTCTGTCACACGTTAGCCAATGTCTGCGAGAACTTGCCGCAATACGTACTGTGAGCAGCCGCTGGTCGACACCGGTACATATAAGTGCTGAAGTTGTGTGCACGTGGAGCTGCGAACGCTGAATACGTAATGCCTTCAGTGTAAAGTCCAAACCGGACTTCTTGGGGGTTGTTCTGAGCGACAGGTAGAGTGCCAGGAATGACCTCAGACTGATGTCGGTTTCCCCATCCTGCTTGGTAGTCGTAAGGATCGTTTGCACGCGTTGGCTTCAGTCTTTGGAGATCGGTGAAGTGAAATGCCTTTTGGGGGTCGGTAACGAGCTGGCGTTCTTTGAAGTCTTGCATGGTGTTTAGCGTATGACGATGATTGTAGGAGTGATCTAGCTTACCATGTAAAGATTTCAGCCTTATATTGGAGTATCCATGGCCGTGGAATGCTAGGCCGACATCTGCCGCACTTGGGTGGTCCGGCCTGCGCATCGTATGTGGTGGCGGGGCCCGACCCTGATAATAGCGGGGTTTCCGTTTCGGTAACTGGGCTACGGGAGCTGTGAGAGGCCCACATAGTGGCCGCGACCGGGTTAGTGGAACTCGTCAGATGAAAGTATGATAGCCTTTCCCACATGGAGGTCATGGTAATGTGGACGTGGCGCACTTGCGGGGTTCTTCATTGCTTCTGAGAAGAGCACCAATCGAGAATATAGTGCTGACTCAGATGAACCAGTCAGAATGTGGTTCTCCCTCATATCTACGCATGGCGATTGTTGTTCCCTGATGAATGACATGGATGTGATCTATTTGGATGCAGCTAAGACCTCGTCCACCATGAGTCCACATGAGCCTAGATAGTTCTTTGCATCGCACAATGAGCTCAGCTCTTCGCCGGAGATCTTATCGGTAATCTCGGGTCGTGTCTGTAGAGCTTCCAACAAGCTGGTGTCGTTCTCAATGCTTTCTTTGCATGCCTCGTAGACAACGTCGTGAGCTTTTGACCGACCGACGTGCGGAGCAAGACCCATCATGACAGCTTCTGCGACAATAAGACCTCTAGTGGAGTAGAGGTTCGTGAGCATCTGCTTCGAATTGACTACCAGACCAGAGAGCGCAAAGTCAGCTTGGTACAGCGCTCCGACAGCCATAACGAAGCTCTCCGGGACGGCCACCCATTCGAGATGCCATGGACCGGAAGCACGCTCGAAGTCCGATACCATGCCATCCAGCACCAAGCCAGCATTCGATCGCAGGACCTTCGATGCGGCTAAGATGACCTCGCTCGAGATGGGATTTCGCTTCTGAGGCATAGTTGAGGAAGCACCGCGGTGTGGTACAAAGGGCTCTGACACTTCCGAGAGCTCATTGGAAGACATGATGATAATGTCTAGGGCAAGCTTGCCGAGGGTACCACCAACAAGCGCGAGATAGTTGGTGATCTCTGCAACACCATCTCGGGCGACGTGCCAGGTGATCGGAGGATCTGTCAGACCCAGGTCTCTTGCCATTTCCTTTCGAACACGAATGCCATCATCGCCCGAACCTAGTGAAGCCAAAGAACCTGCGGCGCCTCCGAACTGTACCATCAAGGCGCGAGGTTTGAGCTGCTCAAGACGCTCGAGATGTCGTTGGAACCCAGATAGCCAAATAGCGCACTTGTGGCCAAAAGTGATAGGAAGAGCATGTTGAAGATGGGTGCGACCAGCCATGGGCGTATCCCGGTGCTTTCTTGACAGGTCTTCGAGGTTTTTGATGACGGAGCGGAGTGTGCGCTCAACGATCTCGAGGCCCTCCTTCATCTGCAGAATGCTTGCCAGATCCATAATGTCCTGTGTTGTTGCTCCCCAATGCACGTATCGCCCAGCCTCCTCACCGCACGATGCAGAGAGCTGTCGCACCAAAGGAAAGATGGGGTAGCCGACGATTTCAGTTTCGTTGCGTAGCCTATCGTAGTCCAGTTCGACTTCGCGAGCTTTGGCCGTCACAATCTCTCCGATATGAGATGGTATGACATTGCATTTTGATTGTGCTCTTGCCAAAGCAGTCTCAGCATCAACGCATCGATTGATATACGCTTTGTCGTCGAAGACCTTTCTGATCTCATCGGTTCCAAACAGCGTACGGAAGATTACTGAGTCGATAGCGCTCACGCTGCCGAGAGATCGCCGTTGGAGACGAAGGGTGGTTTGCCGGGGGATGGCACGCAGTGGGACGCGTCGAAACAGGAACATGATGTGTGTTGCAGTGGGTGCAGCACCTCAATGAGTTACGAAGGGGAGGTGAAGCCCCAAAAGGAGCTCCAGCACTATGCAAGACATAGTGGCCTTGAAGCGGTGGACGTGTGGGACGCGGGTGCAGCCAGCATCCATGGATCGTGTGGGGAAGACAATGCCGGCCTCCAAGCTCGGAAGCGGCCAGCCTCTGCACTCCACGCTAGCGATTGGAAGTGGCTAGACTCTTTGTACACGTGACGCACGCGACACTTTCGTGATTTGCATCATCAATGCTTAAAACATTTCTACGGAACTACGACTCTCGAACGAACAACGAAGCAACACCTAAGCCGGTACTCGCGCACATGCTGACAATACCCATCTCCTTGTCCTGGCGTAGCAGCTCGCCGAACAATGTGGCAGTCTGCCGTGCCCCGGTCGCGCCGGTGGGATGCCCAAGAGCTATCGCACCGCCATTCGGATTGACCTTGTCCTCATCGAGACCCAGCTCCCGAATGCACGCAATGGTCTGGCTTGCGAACGCCTCGTTGAGCTCAATGGTGTCAACGTCTTTTAGCCCAACGCCTGTCCACTTCAGCAATGCTGGTATGGCGTATATCGGGCCAATGCCCATCTCGTCGGGGGCGCAACCCTTGACCTGGGTGCCAACGAAGCGGCCAAGTGGCTTCAATCCACGTTCTTCAGCCCACGAACGTCGGGCGAGTATGGTAGAGGATGCGCCATCCGATATTTGGGATCTGAAAGGTCAGCTTTGCGAGGACTTTGAGTCATGTCTACTTACGAGTTGCCTGCGGTACTCTTGCCGTTCTCGCCGAACACAGGCTTGAGCGTCGACACTTTCTCAAAGGTCAACCCATGCCGAATGCCGTCGTCCTTGGTGACCTCATGCCCGGCAGGCTGGCCTGTTGCCTCGTCCATCCTCTGAACCGTCACGGGCTCGATCTCCCAATCAAAGCGACCTTCCTTTTGGGCGCGACTTGCGCGACCATGGCTTCGCACCGCATATTCATCTTGCGACTTCCTGTCAACCTTGTATCTTTCCGCTACGTTCTCAGACGTGATTCCCATAGGCATAAGACAGTCGCGCGCATCTTTGACGGTCGACCCAAGCAGCGTGGGTGAGACATCGGCTGGGATGCCCCGCGAGCTGTAGTTTCTCGACATGCTCTCTACACCGCCAGCCAGCCCCACGTCAATCTGACCCACCATGATCGAGTGTGAGATGTGGGTGATGGCTTGTAGACTGCTCGAGCATTGCCGGTTGACTGTATGGAAGGTCGTCGAGTTTGGAAAGCCGGCATGATTGAGCGCCATGCGTCCTGTCTTCGCGAAGCCCAGTTCGGCGAGTACATTCCCAATCATAACATCGTTCACGTCGACCTTTTCGATGCCAGCTCGCTGTACTGCCGCTTTCATAATCTGTTGTATTCAGCAACGGTGCAGCGCGTTCTCCTGCCGAGACTCACCGGCATCAGGATGTCTTCTGGATGAGCATCTTTGTAACCGCCCTTGAAACTACGATTGATTGGCGACCTGACCGCAGAAAGTAAAACTACATCGTTCGGGTTTTTCTGCAGCACATTGCGCGCGGCTTTGCTAAAGGATGCCATTTCGGCACAACGACTGACAATCTACGCGTCGCATTGGTACAGGAATGCCTATTGTATGATCTCACAGGGCCGAGAAAGTGCCGCATCGTGGTTGCGGCGAGAGCTGTGGCGGGGCGACGTGTATGTGTGGGGCAGGAGCGAGAGACCCCTCCATGCCGACTCGGGCAACAACGCAATGATGCTTGCCGAATCTAGCTTGCATGCGGACGCGACCATTTACTCTGAACATTTTCACACGCAAACTGATCGCAACAAGACATTACACGATGGCGCTGCCGAACAAGTACCAGAATGGCAGCATTGACTCCTCTACCAAGGGAGTGTACAGGGCATCGCCCGTCAAGCTCATGATATACGGAAATGGTAGGCAGACTGCGGTTGCGGATCGAAAATAAAACTTACGTGTTCGCACAGGAACGAGCAGCCAGCTTTCAGATGTCATTGCCGAGCTCGGTGCTACAAAGGCCTTCATCATCACCGGACGATCCCTATACGAGAAGACTCCCGTGATCAAGAACATTGAGAAGACACTTGGTTCTGCGCATGGTGGTACATTCAGCAAGATCGGTCAACATGCGTATGTGAAGAGCTGTTGAAGTATTAACAGCGCAGGCTGACAAGTCCAAGGCCGATTGGAGATATCAGAGAAGCCACCGCGCTGATGACAAAGTCCGGATGCGATGTACTCATATCGATAGGCGGTGGTTCACCCATCGACTCAGCCAAAGCCATTGCATACAATATCCACGCGGAGACCGGAAAGTGGATACCTAGTATCGCTGTACCAACAACACTGAGTGTAGCTGAGACGACGCAAAACGCTGGCTTCACCACCGAAGAAAAGCACAAGATCGCCGTGAGCAACCCAGAACTTGTACCCAAGGGTAAGCACGATGTCGGATGGTCGGAGAGACTTAGGCTAATCAAATTCAGCTGTGGTATACGATGGTGAACTTGCCGTATACACACCCTTGAACCTCTGGACAAGCACAGGAGTACGTTCATCACCTCCCCAGGCGCTGAAGTAGAACCTATCTCTGACACACTCGCAGATTCGATCACTGGACCACGCAGTTGAGCTGATGTACCACCCTCTCGCCGCCGAGATCCCCACAAAACGCATGTCTCTGGAAGCTATCAAGGATCTCTTCACATACCTACCGCAATCGAAAGCCAACCCTAACGACGCCGAAGTGCGAACAAAGCTCTTCGTTGCTTGTTACTCCTCACTCTTCCCCTTCCTGTACACCGGCGGAGTCGGCCTCAGCCACAGCATCGGCCATGCGATTGGTGCAACATATAGCATTCCGCATGGCATCACCAGCTGCCTCAGTCTCGCACCGACGGTACACTTCAAGGCGAGCAACCAAGAGGAGGCGAAGCAAATCGCCAGGATCATCCCATACATCGGAAAGCAAAGTACTGGCAGCGACGAGAAGGACTCCCACGTCGTTGCCGATGCTATTGCTGGACTGGTCGAAGAACTGGGACATAAAACCACGTTGACAGCTGTAAGTGTCTGAAGCATGTCGAGGAGGCCATTGCTAACATCGCATAGTACAACGTGCCGACTGGCGATGCGGAAGAAGAGGCTATCGCATCGCGTGCGCTACACAGCAAAGATCACAAGGACTTCGCTAGTTGTAAGTTGTCGTGCCTTTTCTCCAGAAATCCTTTAACTGACATTCCTGCAGTGAAGCAAATCGTGCACGACCTGTACTAACCGACTTGATGGGTTTGTCATGTAGCGTCTATAGTAATACATATCTACCAACTCTTCAATACAGACGTCCCAAATGTGCCCGCAGCTCGTCAATGACCATCAGCCTTTCGCACACGCGTTGGCGCGTCAGCACGTGAGCCAGCTTTGGCCGCTCGGCCTTGGAAATGTTTTCCACGTTGCCTTTTTCCGCGTGTGGCTTCGCCCAATGAACGTGCGTTTTGGCCGCAACCTCCGCATCTTGGCCGGCTAAGTCCTCATCCACCTCCGATTGTGGAGCTTTGCTCTTACCCGCCATCGGCACGGCATTTGCATCGGTCTGACCCAATCGGTTATCTGCTGTCATGCATGCCCTCGTGGTGCTCGTGTGGGGAGCGTCATCTCCGCTGTACGCCACAATTCTACACGCGGTCTTCGTGCACTGAGGTTTGTGGAGAGTCTGACGCTTCAATCTGGTGTCGATTGAGCTGAGCTTACACTTTGAAATTGGACAACGTCATCAACAACCTCTGTGCCATCGCAAGCTGGGACGAACGCTTCGAAGCCTATCGCTTCAACTTTCATTTCTCGATACTTCGCGACTCACGACTACGAACCTCAAGATGCAACGTTCTCTCCTTTTCTCGGCGCGCCGCCGCGGCCCAGCGACGGGCATGCGATTCTTCTCTGCCAGCGCGTCTCGACCAGCTATCAACAAGATCGTATCCTCCGCGCAAGAAGCTATCAAGGACATGAAATCCGATTCGACAGTTCTGGTCGGTGGATTCGGCTTCTCTGGAGTCCCCAACACCCTCATCAACGCTCTACGCGATCGGAGCGACCTTACAAACTTCACAGTGGTCAGCAACAACGCCGGCATGCCAGGCGTAGGGCTTGGACAGCTTCTGGAGACAAAGCAGATCGGCACGATGATTGCGAGTTACATTGGAGACAACAAGGTGTTTGAGCAAATGTACCTGAAGGGTCAATTGAGTCTGCAGTTGACCCCTCAGGGCACCATCGCAGAGAAGTGCGCTGCTGGTGCTGCGGGTGTTCCGGCTTTCTACACACCAGCGGCTTATGGAACAATAGGTACGCGAGTCTCGCCATGATTTGACAAGTGCAGGGCACAGCTAACACCTTCCAGTGCAAACCGGCGAACTCCCTGTACGATACAATACCGACGGCACCATTGCGAAAATGGCCCCTCCCAAAGAAACCCGCGAGTTCAACGGCAAATCCTACGTCATGGAAGAAGCCATCTTCGGTGACTACGCTTTCGTCAAAGTCGCCAAAGCCGATCGTCTCGGCAACTGCCAGTTCCGCAAAGCACAAAACAACTTCAACGAAGCCATGGGCAAGAACGCGAAGATGACGATTGTCGAGGCCGATGAGATCGTTGAGGATGGAGAGATCGCTCCAGAAGACATTCACCTCCAAGGCATATACGTCAAGAGGGTGATCAAGAGCACAGTGGGCAAGGAGATCGAGCGGAAGGTCTTCTGGAAGAGCCCCGAGGAGCAGAAGAAGGCACTACTGGAGGGTGGTAAGTTCAAGAAGACAATCGCATGAGAATACCGTGGCTAATGGTCTTGTTAGGCTCAACCGAATCATCACAGAAGCGCGAGCGCATTATCAAGCGCGCAGCACAAGAACTGAAGGATGGCATGTATGTCAACCTCGGTATTGGCATGCCGCTGGCAGCACCTGCCTTCCTACCCGAGGGCACCGAGATCGTTTTGGAGTCTGAGAACGGAATCTTGGGTATGGGACGGTATCCCAAGCCTGGCGAGGAGGTAAGAACACAATAACAGAGAGGTGTTGACAGTGTGGCTAATGCGCTCAGGACCCCGACCTTATCAACGCCGGAAAAGAGACCGTGACTTTGATCAAGGGTGCATCAACTTTTGGTAGCCACGAGTCCTTCGGCATGATCCGATCAGGCCGGATAGACGTCGCCATGCTGGGTGCCATGCAAGTGAACCAATACGGAGGTTCGTTCCATACTGTTATCGTGCATACCTTTCGTCCCACTAACTATACCTAGACCTCGCAAACTTCATGCTTCCCGGAAAGGTCAAAGGCATCGGCGGCGCAATGGACCTAGTCGCGAACCCCACACAGACCAAAGTCGTCATCACCATGGAACACGTCGACAAGAAGGGCAACCCCAAGATTCTGAACCAATGCACATTCCCTCTCACAGGACAAAAGTGCGTGAGCACTATCATTACGGACCTGGCAGTATTCGACTGCGATCGCGTCGAAGGTTTGACCCTGAAGGAGCATGCCAAGGGCGTCACCGTGGATGAGATCAGAAGCAAGACGGAGGCGCCATTCAAAGTCAGTGAGAATCTGAAGGAGATGAGCGTGTAGGGGAGATGAGCAAAAAAGATACCAAAGAAGAAATTCCAGCACTGAGCGCGCGAGCAAACACTCTCTACCCCTTCGTCAAAGGCTTTTGCTAATCCAAGTTTATCTACTACCACCCTCCACAGCATCCAAAAACACATACGCCGGCGCCGGCATATCCTCACTGATATCACCCCAAGCACTCCAATGTTTCCAGACCAATTTCTTCTCCTCAATCTCATCCGCAATCGCAATCGCCATATCCGCGACACTAATCCCTGTCAACCTCCCCTCAAACACATCTTTACCTTCCTGCTGCTCCCCCAGCAACACCATATCATCAACGCTGGTCTCATACTTCCCAGTCCTCTTCCCCGGACGGTACAAAGCAGACGGCGAAACAAAACTCCAATCAAAGTTCTTCCGGTCTTCAAAGAACATGTACGCCGTCCGCCCCGCTTTGATAAAGTCAGACGCGTTGTCTTTGGCGCGGATTTGTTTCTCGTAGTCCGCTATTACAGTTCTGTCTTCTTCCGTGGTCGTTCCCGAGCTCTCTGCTAATCTGGCTTCGCGGTATCGTCGCAGCGAGGTACCCATGATACCGAGGCGCTCTTCCATGTATGCAATGTGCGCTAGTGATGTGGAGATGGCGCGGCGGTAGGCGAGGAAGAAGTCTGGGTGGTCGACGCAGGAGATGTTAGTGCCAGGAACGTGGAGGGAGCCTGCGCCGCCGACAAAAACGAAATACGATGCGGGTCGTAGCTTGTAGGCTAGCAGGATCTTGCGAACGGATTCTAGGAACGGCACTGTTATGGATCAGTCACTGGTTATTGGTATCTTGAATTGGCTGAGACGTACTGTACAGCAAAGCCCCTGGACCAGCTGTATGCGGTCCAAACTCGCTGACCAAGACATCGAGGCCTTCAAAAACTTCCGATAGTTCCTCTATCGAGACTTGGTCGACATCTACTGGCCTGGGGATGTAGCGCGGATGCTTTCCTACTTTCTCAGGGTTGCGTGATATACCAACAACGGTATGGCCTCGGTTCAGCAGCTCGACGGTGAGATAGGAACCGCCAAAACCTGCAGGGCCGATAACACCTATCCGGAGGGGCTTTGAAGACATGGTGTAATAGGATAAAGATGAGGGTATCTGTGATTGCGCTCAGATTTTGGCACTTGAGTGTGAAGTAGGTAGGCACATGTCGCGTCGCGTTCACATGACCACCATGCTATGTCGTCAAATGCAAGGTTACGCGTGTTCAAAGGCGACGAGTTCGGAGTAGTACGCCGAGGTTGTTGTATTGGGGAAAGGCAATTGGGGAAGTGAGGGGATGATGTGGGGCTTGGGTAAACACCAAGGAACGAATGACGCTAGCCGATCAAATGTGTACATTGGAAGAAAGACGACGAGCGTTGTAAACTGAGGCATATTGAAGGGGAAAAAGTACCAGAAGGTTGATCCTACTACTGTTTCAAGATAGAGTATCACTTGGAAACATGACGTCGGCAGATAACTACGCATTCATCGGTGAGCATTCTTACCCAGTACCTTAGTAGGCATTACTAACAATGGCAAGGTCTCGGAGCGATGGGCTACGCAATGGCAGCCAACATCCGCAAGAAGATAGACCTATCTTCGACCCTCTACATCAACGACATCAACACCTCGGCGTGCTCCCGCTTCAAAACCCAATACTCGTCGCACGGCCCTGTAGAAATCGTCGCTACAGCGCGCGAAGCAGCGGAAAATGCGAAAGTACTGATATCCATCGTACCAGGAGGTGAAGATGTAAGGAAAGTGTATCTAGACGAGAAAGACGGAGTGATTGCAGCGAAGAAAGACCAAGACAGGGTAATGCTAGAATGCAGCACAATCGACGTCAACACTACAAAAGAAGTAGGCCAAAAGCTGAAGGAAGCGGAGATGGGAACATACATCGACGCCCCCGTATCCGGCGGCGTCCCAGCAGCAGAAGCAGGCACACTATCGATGTTGATCGGCCACCCACCGCCAGCGCAAACACCAACTTCTTCGGCTTCTCCGGGCTCTCGAATTACGACAACCCTCACAATGCTAGGTCCACCATCCAAAGCCTTCTACCTGAACACCCTCGGCGCCGGTCTTACCGCCAAGATATGCAACAACTACCTCTCCGGCACCATCCTCCTCGCCACCGCCGAAGCCCTCGCGATAGGCGTATCTCACGGTCTCGACCCCTCCGCTTTGTACTCCGTGATCAAGAACAGCACTGGTCAGTCCTGGATGTGCGATCACGTTATGCCTATCCCCAATGTGCAGAATGAGTATTGGGTGCCGAGTAACAGTGGGTATAAACCGGGGTTCAAGACGCAGATGATGCTGAAGGATCTGGGGTTGGGTATCGAGAGCGCGGGTCAGGTTGGGGTGAAGCCGAGTATGGCGGAGAGGGCGTTGGAGGTTTGGGAAGAGGCGGCGAAGGACGACAGGTGTGTGGACAGGGATGGTAGCAGTATATATTTGCATGTTGGAGGTCTTCTACCGAAGGGTTACGAAGACAAAGGCAGGAAGAATGAGGATGGAACGTGGGTGTTTGCGGAGTAAGGCTTCTGTCATCTTTAATATACATAGTGGTGTTGCGAATCCGTCTTGATGCACTCATGTAGTCTTCATACCGTCTACTTTCCTTGGAAGAAGTTCTGGAAGACCTCCATAATGGCATCAAACCCAGCTGTCTCTCCCAGCTTGAGTACCCTCTCATCTCTTCCAATCTTCGCTGGATCGCCATCTGGAACCCATCTGCTCGTGACACCATCGGCACTAGGCCCATAGACCTTGGCACACAGCTTGTCGGTCTTTACAGGCGGCCAAGGGTCCTCACCGTTGACGAATTTGATGAAGTCTTCTCCGTACTCTCGTGCTACCTTCTGCTGCGCATCGTCCAGGTGCTCGTTGTAGTTCTGGAAGAGGTACGATACATCGAGAATGTGGCCTGCTTCGCCCTTGAAGCGACCTTCCCAAGGTATTCCTTCGTTGAAGTGGTAGAGGAAAAACTTCGAGTCGGGTGTGTTGGGCCAGCCTTGGGCGAAGGCACGAGCGGGCGCGTAGAAAGATATTTCGGAACCAAAGCGCAATATTGAAAGCATGGCTTCCTCGTCCGGAATCTCGGGCGTTATCTTGTAGGATGTGAGAAGCTGTTCCGCAACCTCTGGCTTGGCGGACAATGTGGCGTTGCAGGAGTCAATGAACTTTTGCGCGACGCCCGGCTTGCGAGCATCGAGGCCAAGGTATGCAATGATGTTTGCCTAAAAAAAATGAGCTCACACATTCCGAGAATCACGATCTGAAACTTACGTCCAGCTTGGACTCTCCGATCATGAAGGCCTTGCACCACTTCCTGCCCGGCATCATGAAAGCTGGGCTGTCTTCTTGAGATGAGACGGTAAGGAAATCTGGTGAGCCTGGCATGGTATCTTTGTCAACGGAAGGCAGCATCACTGCTGTGGGTGGCACCTTCTGCCATAGATCATCCAAGGGTATACTGAGGAGGGCCTTGATACGATCCTCAGGCGACTTGTCCGTCAGGCCAAATGCTTCGATGGCTTTCTGATACGAGGACTCTGCCACAAAATCTGGGATGGGCTTGAACAGTAGCACAGCTCCTCCAGTACTAAGACAGCGCTTCATCAGCGGCTCCTCCGAGCAGAGCAATACTGTCGCAGACACTGCGTACGTTAGTCGAGCTCTAGATCAACAGCTCCCAAAACATACGTCCACCGGCGCTCTCTCCGCATACTGTGATCTCATCTGCATCTCCTCCGAATCCACCTATGAACTTCCTGATCCATTGCAGGGCCGTGCGCTGGTCGTGAAAGCCGTTGTTCGCTTTGTATCCTGCTTTGCGCAATTCTTCGGAAGTCGCAAACCCTGTGAAACCCAGTCGATAGCTGTATCTGTTAGTAGACGAGGTGTGCTTCAGGTTGTAAAACCCACTTGATGGTAATGCCGATGATGGGCTTTTTCCTCTCGACAGACATCTTCACAATGGGAGCTGGATCATAGTGCGGGTACCAGCTACTCCCAACAGCAAAGCCGCCTCCATGTATGAAGACAAAGACAGGCAACTTCGCGTTGGAATCAATAGCTCCATCCTTATTGGTCGGCACAGTGATGTTAAGGTTCAGACATTCGAGGTCGGAATGAGTCGGAACCTCTGGAAGTGGCAAGGAATGTTGAATGAAGCCGAACTCGCGTTCAATGGCACCGACTGGAGATACTGGAGGAGGACTATTCCATTAGTAAGTGGTAACCGGTGCCAACAGTTGACGTACCCAAACTTCGTGGCATCCGTAGTTCCAGATCCATAGCTATCAACAAGCTTGGGTGCAGCCAAGCGATCGTTTAACGAAGCATACTTCAGGCCAAGGAATTGGACAGCGTCATCTACTGGCTTTCCTTCTATTTCACCCAGGTGTTGGTGCTTGAGGGTCTCCGACATGTTGGCTGCTGCGTGGGATGGGATGGTAGGAAGCAAAGGATCGTTCCATAGACTAACGGATTGTTTACTATTGCCTAGTGTCTGTTTGGATTGGCCGAAGGAAGTTGCGCATCCCTGAAGCTGCTTCTCTGGAAGCAGGTACGTTGGGGGCAATGATGGTCCGATAATTACCCCGCACCTGTACCTGCCATTTCAGTAGTGGGGCAATCACCCGCGACCAAACGTCGCGTGCGGGATGTGGGGGTACTACAGCGACTGCGCCTCGCATCGATGAGGATATCGTAATTCGCTCGATATCTGAGTTCGGCAATTAGCAAGCATGTGTTCGGCTAGATAGGGTGCTACCTAGGTAGATGCACATGTTACACGCAGTCAGCTTCTTGCACAAATGACACCAACAATGGAGGCCGGCCTCCCTCGTACTGACGCCTTTGTCAGTCTTGCTCTCCTCGATGGCGGCAGCTTTCTGGGAGATCTGAGTCGCTTGCATGCTGGTGAGAGTGGCACATTCCGCATGTACAACTGGGCGTTTTACATATCGCACCAGGGAAGACACATACTTTGGGATCTTGGGTTGGATGAGGTGCGTAGGCCAATGTCGGGTTTGGCTACCACAATATTCTTCTGACTAGTTTCTTAAAGGACCGAAGTTGTTACACCCCTTGGGTTAACAAGTTCATGTTGGATATCGTCAATCACGTCGGACCACGGAGAACTATCGTTCAGCAGTTGGCGCAAAGAGGCGTGGCTGCGGAAGATGTCGATACTGTCTTGTTCAGGTATGGATCCAAGGGTGGCGTGAATGAAGTTCGCTGAGCAGCCTGCAGCCACGCTCATTGGGATCATTCGAGGCCTATCAGCGATTTATTTCCAAACGCGATGGCATACTTTGGTCCCGGCACGAGAGCAGCATGTCAGCCAGGGCATATGAGAGATCCAAGCCTACAGTGGGACGGCCGCTTCTTCGACCCGGAGAACTCGACAGAGAAATGGGATGAGCTACACGGCGTGTGGAAGCCCTTTGGTCCGTTCGAAAGAGCACTGGACTACTTCGGAGACGGCAGCTTCTGGATCCTCGACGCACCTGGCCATATGCCTGGTAACTTGGCTGCTGCTGCAAGGCTGCAAGATGGCGAGTGGGTAATACTTGGCAGCGATTGTGTGTTGTCCTAGGAAATTTCTATTGGCGCTCGCTAATCTTGTGCTAGGCTGTCATTCGCGGTACGTTAAATTGATTGCACCAGGCGTTTGCTGACGTGCATGGTGTATACGATCGGGCGTTTACTGACCGGTCAGGGATTTGCTGGACGGCACGCGAACAATTGCGGAGTTCCAAGGCCCAGGGGCAGTGAGCATGTCACTGCATACAGACCTTTCTTCAGCGAAAGAAACAATCGCTAAGATAGGACTGCTTGAAACCAAGTTTGGTGCTCATACAGCGCTCGCACACGATGCTAGCTGGCTGAAGAAGGGCACGGACCAGGTGCTCATGTCACTGCTGGACGACGAGATGCGAGTCGCAGCCCAGGAAAAGATACCGTATGATGAGATACCGTAGATGGAGTTTGAGACACGAACCAGATTTAGTAAACGGATGTTGGAGGCCTGATGATCAGTAAACGCGTCGGTGGGTTCGCTACGCGTTTTTTCGTGGCGCGATTGCTGTCCGCAGGTTAGACGCACGAATGTGGAATGCGTCAACGTTGTCTTGCTAGATGTCGATAAAGCAACAAGCCAGACGTGAATTGTTTTGAGGTCGCTTAGAGAAGTAAATGCAGACGTCCCTTAGATTTATCTACTTTGTTGCTGCCCTCTTAGAATAATAATATTTATTCTCTATTACTAATTAAGGTACTTAAACTAAATATAACTAATATTTACTTAATACTTATAATTAAATTCTATTTTTAGTTTTACCTTTTTAACTTTATAACTTAATTAATTTTTTATTAAATATTAATTTTATAAATAGCTTTAATAACTACTACTATTTATACTTAACTAAAACTTCTTTATAAAACTTTCTTAAAGTTCTTATTTATATTTTTTTTTTTTTTTAATATAGCTATTTTAATAGTATTTACTTAGTATTAAATATTAATACTAAGCTTAATATTTAAAATATTAAATATAAAGTATAAAACTTATATAGTATTTATACTATTTATATAAGTATAGAGTTTTTTATTTATAAAAACTCTTTAAATACTATATATACTATAGTAAAAAGCTTAATAATAGAGATTTATATTAGCTATATAAATAAGCTAAAAAACTTAAAAAGTAGCTTTATATATAGCTTTATTAATATTATTACTTATACTAGTTTTTACTAGTATAAACTTTAAAAAAAATACTAGTAAAGTAGTAGCTAAGTTAAATAATATAAAAAGTTAACTAAAAAGTAGCTTAATATACTACTTTTTATAAAGTATAAGTATTATATATATTAAAAAAAAAGTTTTAAATCTTAATAAAAAAAAAAAGTATAAAGCTAAAAATACTAGTAAAAATAGTAGTAGTAGTAAAAAAAGAAGTAGTAGTAAAAAAGCTATATAATAAATATTTTTTATATAAAAATTTATATTATTATAAAGCTTTATAATATTTAGTTACTTTATTATTATAACTAATAAGCTATAGTTATTATATTATAATTTTTATAGTTATATATAAAGTAATTATTATTACTTAATTTCTTTAAAAAAAGCTACTTTACTAAGTAATCTTTAGGTACTAAGCTATAAGGCTTAGCTTAAGCTTCTCTAAGCTAAGAATATATTATATTTACTTTTATTTTATAACTTTTTTAATACTAGTAAAGAGCTATACTAGACTTAGATACTTTCTTAATAATACTTAATAGCTTATATATTTATCTTAATGCAGACGTGTATTTTGCTGGGCGATGCTCGCGCATAGTCTATTCTAAGGTTTTGAGTTGGCTGTCTCACCCTAGCAATCACGCTAAAGACGCGCCTACCTCAACACCAACATCATGACGTCTCGCGGCGCAGGGTGCTGTAGCGCCCACACTACAGACAACGCCCCGCCAGCCTTACAAGATATACCGCAACCTAGGAGCCTAAAGCGCGTGATAGGCAATGGCAACGGAGGAGATGAAAGAGATGTTCAATAGAGGATACGTGGTGACGGCAGTGGCCATGGCTCAAGCAAGCAACGCCATCTTGTCACACCCTGAAGTCCATCTCCAACATCGCAAGCCTCTGACGATACGGGATCGATGCTTCCACGGTCGCAATTTACAAACATGCGCCTTTCCAACACACGCTAAAGATATCCCACCACCAAGCGCCACAGGATCGCTTAGTGCTGATTTACTCCACTCAAGCGCCAAGATGCCACGATCGGGGGGCCTGGATCAGCACAACCTCATATACCTAGGTACTTCCATCCTCCACACCTAGCAGACCTTACACTTTAGCTCTTCACAATGGCTCTTCGTGACCTACCATGGGTGACGATACTCTTCTCTGGCATCATTGCGGCGCTCGCATATGGCGTAATGAGACTGATCCAAGTTCGGCGTTTCTACAAAGATGTCGTACGTGGGCAGAACCCGGCACCGGCTATAAGCAAGACAGTACTGACAGTAGATCAGCCCAAACCGCCTCATAGCTTCTTCTTCGGCCATTTGAAACTGCTCGGCGAGACCTTCAAATCACTACCCAGTGATGTACATTACCAGGCAGCGGTGGTTACGATCGCCAGGAAGTACAACATGCCAGGTGTCTTCTACCTCGATTTGTGGCCTGCCTCATTTCAGCAAGTTGTGGTGACAGATCCGGATGTTGCACTTGACATGACAGTCATCCGGAATCACCCCAAACATGAAATGGAGGCAACTATGGTCGACCCCTTGATTGGAAGCGGCAACATCGTCACAACGAACGGCCCACAATGGAAGTATCTCCATAAGATGTTGAGTCCTGCTTTCGCCACTTCGCACATCACCAACATGAGGCCGATGGTTGCTGACGAGGTTATGAAATTTCGGTCGAAACTTTCCGAGAAAGCTGAATTGGGTGAGGTTTTCAGGTTGGAGGACCATACTCTGTGCATGACGTTTGATGTCATATCGACTATGACCTTTGGTCGATCTCTTGACGCGCAGACCAAAGGTAGCCCTGCTCTGCAGCACTTTGAAAAGATGTGCCGTGCTTTTATGATCACGCGAGAGTCTCATAATTACATCCGCAACTTCTTCGTCAACCGGACGGTTTTCGCCGAACGCGCAAAGTTTGATGCTATTGTGGAAGGGCTCATCAAAGAGAGATTCGAGATAGTCAAACGTAAGAAGCCCAATGAAGTCCCTGCATACTTGAACTTCGTGCGGCTAACACATAGCTGCAGGCGACAAGCTCGATCTCTCGGAGAAGCGAGGACTAGGGATCATGGACCTCATCTTGCGAGACTATATTGCAGAGCGACAGGGTGACGTAAAGGAGCTCGACCCCCAATTCACCAAAGATGCTCTCACACAAGTAAAGACTCTTTTGATCGCTGGACTTGGAACTACGTCGGATACCATCTGTTTCGGAGCTATGCTGCTTAGCGTTCACCCTGAAGTGGTACAAAGGATGCGCGAAGAGCACGACCGTGTTTTCACCCCTGGTATCGAAGCGACGTACGAGATGCTGAAGAGGGAGCCGTATAAGCTGAATGAGCTTACCTATACGAACAACGTCATCAAGGAAGTCCTGAGGTTCTATCCGATAGGAAATACCGCACGCAAGGGCATCGATACTCTGACGTATCAGGGTCGCGAATGGCCGACCAAAGATCGCATGATCTGCCCCGTCCAACTGGCTATGCATATGGATCCAGCGATATTCCCAGGCAAGTGACATCTATCGATCCTTCTTTGTGACACACATCCGGTTGCTAATGCTTCGTCCAGATCCGCTCAAGTTCGATCCAGACCGGTTTACACGAGAAGACCATCCGCGGCACGCCTGGCGTCCATTCGAGAGAGGACCGCGTGCGTGTCTGGGCCAACCGCTGGCTATGGACGAGTTCGTGATCGTATTCCTGCTGACAATACGCGATTTCGACTTTACTTGCGCGGATCTGAAACCCAACAAGACGCCTCGAGCAGAGTGGAATAATCTGGATCTGACATTCGGTGATCGCGCCTACCAGGAATTTGTTTTCGAGGCCAAACCACGAGACGGCATGCCGATGACCGTTAAGAAGCCCAACTGGCCACAGTAAGCGCGGCAACGGCTGCCAATTCGGGTCAATAGACGACATCAGTGGCGGTCGCTAGTATGGACCATCCCAGGGCTCCTGCTCCGCAACGCATGTGTGTATGTATTGACTCGGAAGGGGCGGATGGCGGATTGGGGTCGACGTGTCATGGGAAATTAGGAAATGTGCCATGGCTGTCATACGGTCAAGTCTTATTGCCTGATGCACGTCGACAAACTGCCGCGCGACACTGGCGGAACCTGGGGTAGGTAACTTCCAAGGTTGGAAGCATGGCTGTTGAGGCATAAGCAAATACCATCAAGGTTCCATCCCGTCTTCCGTCAGCCCACATTGGCGCATCCTTTGCGGAAGCTCGGCTGATGCTTATGCGAGACCATCCTGCAATTCCAGTATTTCACCGACGTCTTGTGCGTGTAGCTGCCGTGCCTTGAACTTACCGCTTCTCGGGTGTGGTGCTTACAGTCGTAGATTTACATTCAGCCTGAATGCATAGCCAGGCGCAGCCAATCGGAGGGCGGGGAGATCCACTTAGCACGAACCCCTCACAGATTTTGCAAGTACCATGGGGCTCCGCATGCGGCTCGGGTACATTCTTGGCTGCCGTATGCCTCTGGGCCAAGCATCGGGAGTGGCTTCGGACACAAGACTGGCTCGGCGCTCGGAAATAAGTGGACTTGCGACCGCTGCTCAACCGCGTGGCCGACGAGACCATGACGTACAGGAATCGTGGGCCATGGTGTTTACCAACCGCGTGCTGACGCAGGGTCGGTGACTACGGCTATTTACTGTGCTATAAGACATGGAGTGAGGACGACGACGAGCTGCATCCGGACCATCCGAACCAAACCAGACAACCGGCGTCATGTTTACCTCGACGCGTGCGCTGCAAGTGTTGGCCTTCGCTGCCACAGGAGCGTATGCTCAATACGTGTTCCCGGACTGCAGCAGTGGACGTTTGAGCAATGAGACCATCTGCGATCCTTCGGCGTGTGCGTTCATCTCCACTACACAACATTTCGTCCATACTAACGCTTTCCAGCTCCGCTAGCTCGTGCGAGAAACCTCGTGTCTCTCTACACTCTCGAGGAGAAGATCAATGCTACGAGCAGTGGCTCGCCAGGCGTTGCTCGTCTCGGCATACCACCTTACCAGTGGTGGAACGAGGGTCTTCACGGCATTGCTGGCCCTTACACCAACTTCAGCGATGAGGGAGAGTTTAGCTACTCCACCTCGTTCCCCCAGCCCATCTTGATGGGTGCGGCTTTCGACGATGAACTCATCACCGAAGTTGCAAAGGTCATCTCCACCGAAGCGCGTGCTTTCAACAACGCGAACAGGACTGGTCTTGACTTCTGGACACCAAACATCAACCCGTTCCGTGACCCTCGCTGGGGACGCGGACAGGAGACACCCGGTGAAGACTCCTACCATCTGTCTTCTTACGTCCAGGCCTTGATCCACGGTCTCCAGGGTGACGCGTCTGACCCGTACAAGCGTGTTGTCGCAACTTGCAAGCACTTCGCAGGTTATGACGTTGAGGACTGGAACGGAAACCTTCGCTACCAGAACGACGTGGAGATCTCTCAGCAGGATATGGTTGAGTACTATCTCGTTCCATTCCAGGCCTGTGTCCAAGCGAACGTCGGTGCTTTTATGTGCAGCTACAATGCGGTTAATGGTGCCCCACCATGTGCCGATCCTTACCTGCTGCAGACCATTCTGCGCGAGCACTGGGGCTGGACGAACGAAGAGCAATGGGTCACATCCGACTGTGATGCTGTTCAGAACGTCTACCTCCCGCACCAGTGGTCATCATCTCGCGGAGGTGCTGCCTACGACTCACTGAAGGCCGGTACCGATCTTACGTGCGGTACTTACATGCAGGAGCACCTCCCCGCTGCTGTCCAGCAAGGTATTTTTGATGAAGCTGTCCTTGACCAGGCTCTTGTCCGCCAGTACTCCTCGCTCGTCCGTCTCGGCTACTTCGACTCTGCCGATAACCAGCCATACCGCCAGCTCGGTTTCGACGCAGTCGCCACCAATGCTTCGCAAGCACTTGCACGTAGGGCCGCTGCCGAGGGTATCGTTCTGCTGAAGAACGATGGTACACTGCCACTCTCTGTCGATTCATCGATGTCAATCGGACTTTTCGGTGACTGGGCAAACGCAACCGACCAGCTCCTTGGTAACTACGCCGGTGTTGCTACATACCTTCACTCTCCTCTGTATGCTCTCGAGCAGCTCAATGTTACTATCAACTATGCTGGCGGAAATCCCGGTGGCCAGGGCGACCCAACGACCAACCGTTGGTCCAACCTCTATGGCGCGTACTCTACCAGCGACGTCCTAATGTACGTCGGAGGTATCGACAACAGCGTTGAGGCGGAAGATGACGACCGTACTTACCTCACATGGACTGGAGCTCAGCTCGATGTTATCAGCCTGCTCGCCGACACCGGAAAGCCAGTCATCGTTGTGGTCACTGGAGGTGGACAGATTGACAACACTCCTCTTGTCAACAACCCCAACATCTCTGCCATTCTCTGGGCCGGATACCCTGGTCAGGACGGAGGTTCCGCCATCATCGACATTGTTACCGGAAAGACTGCCCCCGCTGGACGTCTACCTACAACCCAGTACCCCTCCAACTACATTGCCCAGGTCTCCATGATGGACATGAACATGCGCCCTGGTGAGAACAACCCTGGTCGCACCTACAAGTGGTACAACGGTTCCGCCGTCTACGAGTTCGGTCACGGTCTGCACTACACCAACTTCTCCGCTGAGGTCACGAGCGAGCTTCAACAGAGCTACGCCATCTCTGCCCTCACGCAGAACTGCAACAGCACTGGAGGTTTCCTCGAGCGTTGCCCCTTCGTATCTGTCGATGTCGAGGTCTCCAACGACGGCGATGTTAGCTCTGACTACGTTACTCTTGGCTATATTGCTGGAGAGTTCGGTCCTGCGCCCCACCCCAAAAAGTCGCTCGTCTCTTACAAGCGCCTTCACAACATTGCTGGAGGCTCATCTGCCACTGCTACTCTCAACCTCACTCTTGCGTCTCTTGCCAGGGTTGACGAGATGGGCAACAAGGTCCTGTACCCCGGTGACTACACCATGATGATCGACAACCACCCGCTTGCGAGCGTCAACTTTACCTTGACTGGAGAGCATGCGATGCTAGACATGTGGCCTCAGCGTCCTAACCAGACTGCTCAGGGCGTCGAGTACGTTGGTGACTACTGGTACGGAGGTTATGGTAGCGACTATGGTGCTGAGCCTGCGGAGTTCCAGAGCACCATGTAAATGAGCTCTTGTATACCTATATATATGGAATGTGTATAGCAATCGACCAAATGACTGTCATATATACTGAAAGACTTGCAACATCTGAATCCAGTCTTGTCTTCATCCTCACCTTCACCGTCGAGCCTGCGCTCGGACCATTGATTCTGTTTGCTACAACGACTAGCTCTTTCCACCTTTTGCCATCCGCACCTTCCTACACATTTACCCAACCTCATTCGTGGACGACCAATCGACACAGCGATGACGCTTTGCGACGAGTGCGACAACGAGGGCGCACTACGTTGCGTTGGTTGCGGCTCCAGCTGGTACTGCTCGAAAGAGTGCCAGAAGAAAGCGTGGCCTCTTCACAAGATTCTCTGCAGGTCCACCAAGGACTTCCAAGACCGCCCCGAAGCCGAAGGACCTGGTGAGAAATACACTCGCGCTATCTACTTCCATCCCGATGAAGGCGCACCGCGATTCGTGTGGCTCAAGACCGTGACCAAAGATGGAGAGTACGGACACCCTTGTCTCGCAGCTTGCCCCGGTGTGCTGGCCGCCAACAACGAGAAGGAAACAGAGTCTGGAGAGGACATTGGTATGACAGATATGAAGATCCGCCATAATCACGCCCTCGCCCGTCGTCTCCCGTACAACTTGGTCTTGTCCTACCGCGAGAACTTTCTCCACGATGGATCGACACACAACATGGCCATCGACAAGATCATCGACTCCAATTCTCCTCACCTACACGCCTGGCGGGGTCCGATGATTGCGTATGGGACTGATGCCTTCGATGACGTTCCTTTCAGTCAAGATCCGTCTTACAGCCAAGATCTCGGTCCTTCCGACCTTCGTATTATCGCGCACAAGCTCAACACTTACTACTTCAAGTACGCAATTGGTTCGACGATTGAGGACATCAAGGAAGAGTTGAGTAGTGTAGTCGGCGTACGCATCAACTGCGATGGCGATGTCGAAGTTGAAGGTCGCCCTCGCTACGAGCCTATGGAACTTCCGGCCTACCGTTCGTTCTTCCACGCAGCCACCGATGTCTCAGAGCACATTGAGCTACCCATCGTTGTCCAGCGCCTCCCCGGAAGCATTCGCAAGTGGGGAACTAGGGCGAACACCAGTTCTTCTCCCTATACCAACACTGGAGCTACATTCCTCAACATTGGCTGCAAACCCGAGCGTAAAGAATGGGGTCTCAACTTCGGTCTCGCACCACTGGAATGGCAGGACTCTGTTTGCAGTGTCGTCGTAATGCGCAAAGACAGGAAAGCACTGCTGCCGGGACATGTCGACGCGCTTGTCAAATACCATCAGGAGCATCTCATGGGGTTCTTCCAGCATGAGTCCGAGACTACGTATGGAGGTACGGAGGATGAGGTGCAGCGGGGCAAGGCGCGAGTTATGGAGGAGATCACCAAGGAAAAGTTTGAGGAGTATTACGAGGCTTGGAAGCCGTGGCAGGCGGACGAGGTGATATTGCAGCAGGTCTCGCCCTACGACTTGTAGTGCTGCTGCGAGCTCAGTACCGGGTCGGCCTTGACTTTGTTCCTTCGTCCCGCAAGACTCAACGTCGCGCGAGCGAACTTTGAACTTTTTCGATTCGTAAGGACCTGAAGTAGAAGACGCGCCTAAATCGCATGGATATTGGCAATGGTTTCAAGAAGGGTCCTGACCTAACTAGTCATTAGCAAAGCTCGAACCATATAGCATGAATCCATCCAGATCACACTCTCGATTCGTAGATTTGGTGATGTAGTATCTTCCTTCATTATTGTCTAATATATCCTGTTCCCAACCAGCCTACAACTTGCTCTTAAACCCGCCTACATCCTTAACAATCATAACCGACATCGGCTCCCTAAGTAGGTCCTCCCCGTTGACCGCCGCTTGTAGCTTCTTCAATCCCGCGCTCTTGGCGTGGAACATCAGAGCATCTTTGTCCGCATATCTGATGGTTGTCAGTTTTGAATTTACCCCAGACATTGCGGCGTGACTTACGTTTCGAAGATGACAAAGCTCGGCGCGTCGCCCTTGGTTTCGCGCTGTAGGTGATACCGGGTCGTGCCGGGTTCAGTGGCTTTTACTTCTTGGGCTGCGATGTTGAGCAGTTCCTCTACCTGAGGATCATTAGTTATTTGCAGATGATGAGATACCAATTTCACGCGTACCCTGTCTTGGTTGCCAGGCTTGGGCTTGAGGATGGCGATGATTTCGTAGCCTCTGGACATGATGACGTAATGTTCGACGCGCAATTGTTGGCTTGGAGGAATGCAAATGTCTGAGCGCGCAAAAGAGCTATAGTATGCAGGAGTATTAAGAGATACGGGATATTCAGATGACGCAGCCAAGCCACAGGTCGCATCGTTGAGCTCGTCGCCGTCAGCTTACTTTCTCCGCTTTCTCAAAGTAGCGCCGAACCGAAAGATGCCGAGGCACGATTCAGGAGGCATCCACGCGTCGCAGCACATACTGCGCGTTAACTTTACTACCCGTCACATCACGGTCGCAATGTATAGCGGTTTTGTGACGAGAGTTGCCGCTTGGCAATACGGCTGCATACTCCACACGCGCCTCTGCCGATGCAGTTCGCTTGCAAGCATCGAGGGGTCACGAGGTGCGGGGCAGACGCGCACCCAGTCCGTGCCGCATCATTCACTCTAATACCTAGGTACTTATGATTCTAGTCATCACCATTTTCAGATACATTGACAATCATATTATCCTTGTATACGTCAGCATAGTATTCAGATAAGCTCTGGGAACTTGTACGTGCTTTCATATGGCAACGCTTAGCGCGATCTATTCTTCCAAGGTTGTTGTCGGTGCCAGGGTCTTGTTCTGCGAATTACATCCGATTGACCAAGGTCACCAGGAGCAATAACAGTTCGATAGATGGATCAGTCTGAAACACCGAAACCGACAATAGACATGAGCATGACAGATTTATCACTTGAATCGTTGTCGTCCGAGAAAGAGAGACTTTTAGCAAGGCTCGATCAGCTCGCAGACGAAATGTCCAAGGAACGGGCCGCACAGCTTGAAGATCCCCAAGCCGAAAGGGCCGAGTCTGGAGATGAAATTGTAGTGACAACGTCAGTCGGTGAAGGTCATGTTGACGTTTGTCCGGCTGCTGGACGGCGGTCGGACTTCACCATGAGCTGGGATGCGTGGGGGGTGTGCGTTCGATCGGGCTGTCCAGCATGTATCCTACGCCGCAAGATCGTACTGGACTCTGGGTACACAATGTCTCAAGACTCTCAGGACTTGCCCGCCCTCGTTCTTTATGATCACGACCTTCTATTCGACAGCTTTGAGTTTGATAAGAAGCTTTTCGAATGGGTCGTCGAAAAAAGCGACCTGGTCGAGGAGTCTGAGATATATGACAGACAAGTGAAGTTCGGTGGCACGGGGACTTACGGGCCAGATGTTGGGCGAATGCTACAACCATGTGATCCGAGTTTCGGGGCGAATCTACCCATGGCATTAGACTGGATCAACAAATGCGACAATGAGCATGCTTGCAGAACCGATAAGCTCCCACCTTTGCCGAAGAGGCTACTGGATCTCCGCGATGGAAGAGTACGGCTTGCTCGAACAGAGGGGAAGCGTGGACACTACGCTTGTCTCAGTCACCGATGGGGCTCAACCCTGATGTTACAGACAAACGCGGTAACAATGAAGAAGTTTGAACAGGATATTCCGTGGCTAACCATACCACAAACTTTCCAAGACGCGATTACATTTACACGTGGGCTTGGACTCGATTACCTATGGATCGATTGCGTGTGTATAATCCAAGACGATGCAGTGGACTGGCAGAAGCAATCCGGTGCGATGGCTGAGATCTACAGCAACTCCTATGTTACCTTGGCAGCAGCTGTGGCTGAGGACTCTAACTCTAGACTCCTGTCTCACGGCGATCGGAGGTGTAATTTTGAGAAAATGCCTGTCGAACTTACGGTAAATGGAGTCGAAATTCCTGTATTTGGCAGACAAGCTTTAGAGCACGGTTCTTTTCCGTTGCTAAAGCGCGGCTGGGTTCATCAGGAACGCCTTCTTTCGCCTCGCATCATCTACTTTACCAGCGAGGAGCTGCTTTGGGAGTGCGTCGAGAAAAGAGATTGCGAATGTGAAGGCCATCATGGTTGGGATCCCCGAGCTAAGATACCTAGAGAGTCCGCAGCCGATGGACCCAACGATGAGGCCAGCGATGAGGCCAGCGATGAGACCAGCATTGGTTCCAGCGATCCCTTCTCTGACATGATGGACCCCAAAGACCCCCACGAGATGTGGCGTGTTATCGTGACCGACTACTCCACACTGGACCTTACCTTCCCAAAAGACTGCTTACCAGCCTTGTCTGGAATCGCTCAAGTTTTCGGCAAAACAATGGATGACGATTATGTAGCCGGCTTGTGGAAGAAATTCCTCATATCAGATCTGCTCTGGTTCAGGAGTCTAGAAGAAGCAGAAATGATCGCAGAACACTGGAGAGCGCCATCCTGGTCATGGGCGTCTACACAATCGGTAGACGAGGTTCAATTTCATGAGGTCGAATGGCCGCTTGCAGAGCTTGTCGAAGCGGTTGTCGAACCAGCGGGCAGGGACCCTTACGGGGAGCTGACCTCTGCATATATCCGGATCAAAGCGAAAGGAGTTCGCGCAAACATCCAGCGTGACCCAACCTCGCCGACAGGATATACTGTAACTTTCCGTGCGGGTGACGACGCCCCCCTTCGCTTGAATCATCATGTTTGTCCACTGTTCAGCTTACGAACAACCAAGATCAAAGCGGAGGCTCTACAGCAAGTTATCATTGTCCCAATTGGAAGGAAGATCACATCCTATGGAGTAGCGATGCATTCAATACCTGAACATGGACTCAAGATTACATATACATATCCAGATGAGGCGCTATCATGTCTCCTAATTTCCAAGGACAAGACCGCTGGAGAGCGATGGCAGCGGATTGGGCTACTGCACCTTGGAAAATTTCCATTCCGGAACAAGGAGGATTGTACCGCTACTGAGGTATACATGCCGCGCGTATATTTAAAGCTGAAGAGGCAGTATGGCTTGTCAGACAAGGAGATTCAGTCGAGATACGAAGAAGGATTTGAAGCTCAAGAGGCCATTTTTCGAGCTTTCGATGACGAGCCTATGCAAGAATACACCCTTTGGTAGCTATCCACCTTCGCAGTCGTCACCGAGTTTTACCCTAGCTCCATGAACATTATGCTTTACCAAGAAGAGCGTGACTTTGGGCCTCGCAAGATGTTCCATCATAGATATGGGCAGGGCCTTCTCCATCATATCAATCCAGCGTTTTCATGCGTCGTCACCACTGCCAGTGCTTTCCGGCTCGATGACTGCTCTAGCCCCAAGATCATACCTATCACCTTCGCGCAGAAAGTAAAACCTCGCATTGGACGGCGGCAGGGGCCTCTCCCAGCTTCCTTCTCTCGACCAGAAACCACCATCGTATACCAACGCATACGTGCTGCCGATGACTTCCATCTCGTTTTTGTTGACCACCAGCGCGGTGTCTTCGTCGATTGCCAATCCTAGCAGCTTCGGGTAGGCGTTCAGGATCTCGAACATGTCGAAGTGCCTGTTGCGTACAAGGACGTGCTGATCGATGGCCGAGTTCTTCAAATATCCAAAGCCGACAGTATGATCGCCTGCAGAACTCATTAGCCTTTTTCTCTCTGGTGACGTGCATCAGAGAGGCTCACCTATCATAATGGTGTTGTTCGCGGTGTCACCACGAGCAAGGAAACTGCCAATGATACTCGCGCCAGCACTAGATCCAGAAATAACACCTCCGGCATCGAGAACATCCTGAAAAGCTGCTTCGGTTTTGGTGCCAGCGTAGGCATCCACGAGCCTCCATTGTCTGCCTCCACCGAAGAAGACGCCCTTCGCACCCAATAATGGAGCAATGAACTCATCGGTATCGGCAACCGCGGGATCATATGTATGCAATACCGTCACGTTGGTGGCACCATATTTGCGGAACGCTACTGCGGTCGTAAAGTTCTGATCGTATGTGTCCTCGCCGCCTGCCGTGGGAACCACAACAATCGATGCATCGGGGCCGCCAGCAAGGGCAATGATGCGCTGGTAAATGCTCTCGCTCTGCAAATTCCCTCCAACGATTACGAGATGGCCGTTTTCTGGACCGACATAGGTTGTGTTGGTGTCATTCGTTCCGTAGATGGGAGTCGCGATGGCCGTAACCGCAAGAGCAGCGGTATAGAAGAAAGTGGTAAGCCGCATAATGAAAACGTTGATACCCGACGGAATAGATAGTACTTAATGCGACCTCTTTCTTATCCCTTCTATATTTAATAGGCAGATTTAGTTATTATGTATCTTGTGTGTATTATAAGAGTTATAAGTAGCTTATTATTAATAAGTTATTATAGTACTATAAAATAGAATAGAACTAAATTTTAAGATTTTTACATATACTATATAAGTTAAAGAAAAGTATAGAAGCTTTATCTTTATAACTCTTTTTCTTCTCTTATATATAATATAATAGTATATCTTACTCTCTAGTTTATTACTTTTCTTATTTAGAATCTAAATAACTTAACTACAGCTATAATTACTTTTACTATCTTATTTAATATTATTACTACTACTTTTTTAGCTAAAAATACTACTTTTAAGTAATTAGCTATCTTATAAGCTCTTTAGTATCTTTTCTACTAAAAGTTATACGTAAAGCTTTTACGTAACTTAAAGATATATACCTACTATATAAATACTTAATAAGGTAAGTACTTACTATATTTTATATAAGTTCTACTAATATCTTAGAACTTATACTAGTAGCCTAAGCCTTTATCTAAAATAAGTAAGTAATAGTATATAAGCTACTAATAAAGATAATACTTTTTATATACTAGCCTACTCTAAAGAAGTAGTAGTTTATATATTAGGTATCTTTTACTAGTAACGTTAAACGCTAAAGAAGAATAAACTATATACTTACTCTATATAACGTATAAGTGCTAATATAAATAAATATATAAGGCTTAAAAAATAGTACTAAAAATATAATATTAGATAGACAATAGATAATAAAATATATAAATATTTATATTGTAGATAAAGCGTTTAGAGCGTGTGTAACGTGTATGCACTTAATGCGAAAGCCTACTACATATACCGTACACTGTCAGTGACGGCATCTTATCACATAGTTGATGCTGGGCATCGCATCATCGTGGGTCTTGATCTAATTGGGCGGAGATCGACAGCACCTGCCTGAAAGGTATTAAAACCTCAAGGGCAACCCCACTCACCCATTTCCCGGAGCATTGGCACGGAGATGCGCGGCGCAAGATGGAAACGTTTCGCACGGAATTGGTGATTTAAAGATGGAACTTAGGTACGATCTGGTGAGAAGAGTGAAAACACGCGGGGCGCTAAGCGAGGTGATGATGTCACGCGTTCGGTATCTTCGATTCCTGGATATGATAGATTACTGCTACCATTTCTTTTAAGACAATCCATCGCCTATCCTCAGTTAGAAGAGATTGGCATCCTTTCACCATTCGGCGTAGCTGGGCTTACGAGGCCAAATCATGAGTGCTAAGCTGTCCCACATTTTGCCAAGTGATATACAGCCTTCTTGGTGAAGAAACTCTTCCCGATGTCGCAACCTTTGTTCATATCTCTTCGCTTTCTTCGATATCGATTCTTGATTTTTGAACACCTGAGACTGGTCTGGTAACATTCTGATGACATCATCCGCGTGGTAGACGAGCTCCACTGGATGACCCTTGCCGTTGATGTAGACAGCCGGACAGCGCCTATGGCTTCTGTAGTCCTCGTCCTCGAAGACTTGAGACAGAACGATGAATACATTCAGTCTCAGCTGTTTGAGTGTGAATGAGGACTGGGTGTAGCTGCTGACACCGTCGCGTGATGAGCGCAACCGAACAGTTATGACCATGGAAGGGCGCGATTGATACGTGGCTCGAAGCAGCTCGATTATGTTGATGCGAACATCATCCATATCTTGATCCTCTGGCCGAACACTAATTTCAAGCAAGAGCTGGAAGTTTCTCGCCAAGAGGTCGACGTCGCTGGCGAAACCGTGTGGCCAGAGTTGGGCTTCATTCTCTGAGTCGGCTCTTACCATACGCAATCTCTCTATATATGAGAATCCGCCAAAATTGGGTCGGAGACCTTCTGAAGCGAGCATGAAGACGAACGAAGTGGTTCTATACGCATGGTATAGGGCGTCTGACCGTATCTTGCGATTGACACGGAACACAGGGGACTTCCACGGCGGCAGTATCGTAGAGAGCGGGCTAGCGAAGAGCTTTACGGTAGGCTGGACTGCATATGCAATGATAGCATGATAAACGGATGCAGGTAAAGCTGAGAGCTCCGGTTTCCGCGGAATTTGGCTCATAGTGACTACCTTCCCTTCATCTGAGCATGAGAAAGTAGATTGCACGTTCGCTTCGGGGGTAGTGCTTGCGAAGGTAACTGTGCCCATGGTCCCTTCAACCCTCAAGATCACCGATGCAAGTAGATTTGAATACCGTCTGAGGTTTAGCTGGTCTTCCTGAGCGATGGATCTGAAAGCGTTGTTGAATATGGCGGGCGCATCGTTATAACTTGGAGTCTCGATCGAGACTTGCAGCATTGCTCCAGACTCGGTCCAAAGCAATCGTAACAACGGCAGCAAGTCGAGAGCGACTACCCAAGTGGGGCCGTGATCTTCCTCCAGCTCGGAAGACAAAGCGGTGTAATCGATGGTGACATGTCTCAGGAATTGCGCCCGAGGACCGAGTTGTTCGGACCATCTCTTGAAATAAGCCTGTTCATACCAGGATGACACGAAGAAGTGGTTCCGTTGATATAGAACGCTGGCAGCTTCCCAGTAGACTTGGCGACAGCTGAAAAGTAGCCCAAAATCCAGCGCCGCTTCTGATTCGACACCTCCCCAACGTGCGCCCGTGTCCCATACGAAGAGTTGTTCATTCAAGACGTACAGTAGGTCGTATATCTGATTTCGGATCTCTGAGGGGAGCGAGATGAAAGAATGTGCGCTTGCGTCCGCCGGCAATGAGTACGTCTCTAGGATTGCCCTAACCCTGTCTTTCTTGTTGGATATTGCGGTGGTTGATTGCCTGGCTCTGTCATGTGCTGACAAGAGACTTGATATGGCCGTCTGCTGTTGAAGGCCAAAATTTTCGTTGGGATCGTTCGAGCCGAGACGTGTCTCCATGGCAGAAATGATGATGTGTAAGAAACAGTCGAGTGTAAAGTGCAGAGGAAAGAACGAAGAGTAGAAGACAAACAGTAGTAATCCACCGCAGATATAGGAAGTAGAAGTCACGCGCTTTGCGCCTTTACCTACACAGGCGGCCACTTACCGCATGCGGCCTCGTACGCAACTTCGCCGCTCTCACCTCGGAAAGTGGGTCCTCGTCAAGGCGCCCAATTACTTACCACGCAGCTCTCAGACCTTCACCCCATAGCGCGATCCTCAAATCATCCCACACCCTGATCAAGCTACCCGGAACTCGATTTTCGTCATCAGTCATCTCCTTACCCTCCCAAGTCTTTCCGCCCACAGGCACTAAATGCTTGAGCCACCTAGCGTAATGCTTACCGCGCTCCTCTGCTTTTGTTGGGTTGCTCATATCGTGGGTGGCGCCGTGAAACCTCGGCCCTCGGGGCTTGTTTGGATACGTGATCTCTACGGCGATACCAAAGCCGTTGATGTAGACGTTTGGGCATGTCCATCTGAACCTGCCGGGCTGGGCTTGCAGTACGTGAGATAGGATAACGAAAGTGTTAAGCTGTACATGGCGGAGGGTGAAGGCGCTTTCGTAGTGCGCCGTGTGACCATCTTTCCCAGGGCAAGTAAGTACGCATTTGATGGTGGCAGTAAAAGGTTCGTCCCATGTTGTCGTTTTAAGTAAGTCGATGATACTGACCCGTAAGCTCTCTAATGACGTTCTCTCGCAGAGATCGAATCGAAACTCAAATTGGACAGCCTTCATCCACCGCAGAATTGTTCGTGCGTCTTTTGTAGCCGTTGTCTGAGCCGCCTTCGCCTGATTGTCATTACGTCGTTGCCTAGCTTCGCGAGCCAGGCGCCAAGACATCATCTTTCTATCGATCACTCTTTCGAAAAACGTCACCGACAAAAGTTTGCGTTGTTCGGCGGCTGCTCTGGCGGTCGCCCTAGCTAATCTTTTGCCAGGTCTCCGTTTTGCTTCTTCTTTGACTCTGTGAACCGCCTCTGGGGCTATCGTGGCGGCCGTCCGAATGTCGAGCACGTCCATTCTCAGCCAAAAGAACAGGTGTGACATATCTCCATATGTTGCGCGTTTCGTGTGAATGTTCGTAATAAATGTGAACGTGTTCGAAGTGTAGATACTGGGCACGATAACGCCGAGGAGTCTCGGACGCTTCTTGACCAGGTTGAGCAGGTGAAATACCGGAAATATGCTTGTCTTCATGCCGAGGACGATGACTATGCTCTCAAGTAAGCTTAGTGCGTGTTCGCAAATTGTTCCCAGGACATCTGGTGGGAGGAAGAAGAGATTGGAAGTCGATTGGATGTGACTCTTGTGTATTGCCCAACTGTCTTCAGGAACTTTGAAGTTTATATTGGGCGCCAAACAACCAGTGATGGTGTGCCATCTGATGTTACCTTTGATCACAGACCTGTTAAAGGTGATGCACGAAAGACGGCGGCCTAAATCGCCAAGTCTACGAAGATCAAGTGGATCTTGTCTCACAAGTGTGTACAACGTTCCTTCCAGTAAGTCTTGATCCGGATCTTGATCCGGGGGAGATCTCCAATTGGAGTAACCCAAACGTAGGCGAGCGTTCGTGTAGTCTGGTACCGATGGGATTGACGGTAATTGTGGACTCAACGTGAAGTCAACCCACAATATTTCTTGAGGCGAGCCAATCATGCTGCTTAGTAAAGGAAGGAGATCTATACGCTTGTGGGGGTCGTCGTGATTGGGAAGGGTCGGTACAGATAGATCAACAACGACTGCTCTCAAGAGCGGGATCTCTGACCCAAAACACTTCAGCCAGGATCGAACAAACGGCAGGTGATCCCTGTCCCGGAAGGGGGAACAGTTACGCCGATTTTTGAACATGACTGTCGTCCCGTACAGGATCACACCCATGCCTTCGCGGTAGATTTGTCGGCAACACCGAAGCAGCTGTACAGACGGTATGTTACAGAAGAACACAGAATCGTTGGTTCCCAGACGTGGTGATGCGTTCATTGGCCTTCCGTCATCCGTTGAAGCAGCCGTGTGCGTGACCAATATAGTATGATTAAAGTCCTCGAAGACGTATTCGTAGATCGGATTCCGCACCTCAGGGGGAAAGCTTGTGAGGAAGCCATGATTCTTCGAAGGTAGCTGCTTGCGGATACGTGATCTGGATTTCATCGCGACAGAGACGAAGAGACGATACCAGAAATCGATCTTGGGGAGGCATACTTGTAGTAGCAACGAGAGTGGGCTTTGCGGTATCTGAAGTTTGTCAAACAGCAATATATGATCAGCTCGACAAGAAAAGCTTGAAGTCGTCGACTTTAGATATCTCATTGAGATATGAACAGTGTCTCTTCTTCATTGCAGGATCCCGGAGACTCATGCTGATGACAGCGAACTCGAATCTCGCCATTGCGCCAGATGCCCGGGGGTGCACGAGGTGATAGATGCGGCTAATGACTGAGAGAGCGAATGAAAGATGTAAAGCGACGTGATCAGTAGATGTGGCTTTGAAGTTTGCCAAAAGATGAAAAGACCCGTGGACCTTGGTGGCATGGCGCTGACGTACCGCGTCACCAGCGCTGCCATGCCGCACGTCCCCCACCGCGCACCCAGCTCCAAATTCCTGCTCGCGCGACATCATCGCCCGCCGTCACCCATGTCCAAATCCATCACCACGGCCACTCCACCCCAACAAGCCACCACTTACCCGTACCGTACCTACCAACCCAACCAACACGCCAATTGCGCACCCCTCGTCAACCCGAGAAAGGAAACAACCACCCACCACCCAGGATGTCAATGTTCTTCGGTCAAAAACCCCAAATCTCTTCGGAGCAAAAGATTGCACAGGCCGAAGCGGAAATCGACATGGTTTCCGACATGTACAGCCGGTGCGATCATCACCCTCCCATCACTCTGCCCCAACCCTCCCTTCCCCCCCAATCTTTCCAACTAACAAGCATTTACTAACTTCCACCACTCCAGCCTCGTCAAATCCTGCACATCCAAATGCATAGACACATCGTACCGCGAAGCCGATCTCAACAAGGGCGAATCCGTGTGCCTCGACCGCTGCGTATCCAAGTTCTTCGAGGTCAATGTCAAGGTTAGCGAGAAGATGCAGGGTGAGGCGCAAGGAAAGCAGGGTGGTGGTGGCGGCGGCATGTTCGGTGGTGGAATGTAAAGAAGGACACTATGTGGAATGCGCGATATGCTGAGGCTGGATGATATGGACATGCCTCGTCGTTTTCGCGTTGGAATGTGACAGGTCTTGCATTTGGAAGCAGAGGCGCCATGTTGTCGGGTGGGCATGGCTGTGGAGGAGCACAATATTGCAGCAAATGTTTCTCTAGTTGGAGATGCTGGAGGATTACTCTGCATGCTCCACTCCAGCCTCTTGACGTGCGACTGTTCATGTGGTTGCAGTCTCAGCAATGATCTAGCACGATACCAAGGACATGTACAATACAAAGTTTATGTTTTCAATTCGACCGGTCTATGTATCAGGGTATCTCCCAATGTCGCACCTTACGTGTTCATATGTAAGTGCAGTCCGGTCAACTCGTTCAGTATTCAGCCACTCCGTCTTCTAATCATTAGGTGATGTCCTTGCTGAATAATGAGCAAGACATCGTGTCGGTCCATGAGCGTGTGCTTTCATAGCATCGCGAAACCGTAAACTCAGGCAATCGTTGGGTATCGTACATTCGTCCCGCCATGGTGTATCTCTCATGTGAAAGAAGTGTCGATAAAAGGAAATGGAAGTGTACAAGCGGTCATCTGGTCCAGTAAAAACCGGAAAACCCAGATCTACGCAACAAGATCAAGTCGTAGATATGACCTTGCGTCAACCATGCAAAGAACGAGCCTTGAACAATAGCCGGGTGTGGTAGCAGAGCATACGAAGCGGTGCTCAAGGCGCGCTATTCCTCGTTAGCTGTTGGTCTGTGGGTACATCAGAAATGCCAACATACCTTCAACATGCTGTATGAAAGCCCGGCATAAATCCTCGGCGAATCTCCTCTCTCGATCGTTTGCGTTCAAATTTAGGTAGGAAACTCTTGATGTATCTCGTGGACTCAGCATCCATCGGCGTGGTGTCGAGTAGCTCGCGCAGGCGTGTGAATTCGGACGTGACGCGATCGGCATGATATTCCGCTTCAACAGCACTCTTCCTCGCTTCCATCGCGGCGATGTTGGCTTTTCGAGAACTATCGGCGGCCGAAATGATACACTGTTTATTTTGTACAGTCAGGACAAGCTCTTCTTCCGCAATGGCTTTCAATCGGAGGGCTTCATCGGCGGTGTTAATTCGCAGGGCTTCACTTACCTCTGCAATCTCCACGTGACGCAGACGCTCTTGTGAGTTCTCAGGTTGCGCATCTATACGGTCGACGATGTCGTGAAGCATCTCATCTGCGTGGCTCGGCCTTCCAGGCGATGGCTGTTCGGCCGGGGTGGCTCTACCGCTGGGAAATGCAGCGAACATGCCTGGCTGGAAGCTCTTCTTATTAGAGACGTGATCAGACTCAGTCTCCAGCTTCGATTCAGTCTTTCTTGGCAGATGAACTTTCGAGAGGCTCTTGGAATCGCGCAAGACCTTAGCGAGCGAGCTTCGCGTGCTACTCATGAATCCTTGCTTGGATGCCGCCGCTTCTGGTGATTTTGGGCTTGTCTTCTCACGGTTGAACAGGTTGCGAATGCTGCGTTTGGCTTTGATCCTGCTCGTAACAGTTTCCTTATCATGGTTGTCCGGGGGTGTATCTTCTGCAGGTGACGAAGAGACTACAGGTGTGACGTGGCGGCGAAAGGGCTGACGGGCTTTAGGTATTCCACGGCCCAATGCGTTATCAATACTGATCGACCTGGCAGTCTCCGCGGTCCTTGGCTTGGGAGGAGCCTGGGTGCGGGCCGTCTCGCGTGAAGGCTCGGCGTGAGGCAGTGACGAAGAACTCAATTCGGCAGCACTGCGGTTTGCGGTCGAGTCGTCCTCGACAGTAGGGTAAATCGAGCTTGGTGAGGGACTCGCGTTTTCGCGTGCTGGTGCTGTCCGTCTGACTTTGCTCACGGTGAGGGAGTCGTCGGGTCCTGGTACAATCGTAGGCTCAGAGAGCTCTTCAAGCTGTTCCTGATCTATCGTCAGTACTGTCACGTCGCGTAATCGGGTTCACATACCTGATAGGCGTCCCAGGAATCAACAGGCGGTTCAGAGGAATCTCGAAGCAACGGTACAGACCTGGGCTCAGGTGTAGGCGTCACGGATCTATCTGAGATCGGCGATACACTGCGCTCAGTCTCTACAATTACCTCAGGTGTGTCACTGACAGTTGTCGCGTCTGGGAAGATCATAGACGGAGACGAAGGTAGCTGGGGAGAATGAGCGTCAAGACTAGGCTTCCTCGCTGGCTGCATCGACCGGATGGGACTGATCTTAACAACTGGACTTCCATTTGCCGTGAGTTCTGCCGTGCTGTGCACTGGTGATGTAGTCGCAATGCTCAAGGATGCTTTGGACGTTGTCGCTCTGGTGAGGCGACTGGCAAGAGCACCTAGAGAACGCGGCTGAGAAGAACGCTCTGGTAGTACCGCGGGGATAGCGGGTACTGCCGGGATGGAGTCGCGCTGACCGAGAATGACTGCGTCTGCATCGGCAGAGATCGTGAGGATAGGTCCAGTTCCTGAGCTTGAGCCCGACGCCGTCGAATGCCATGAGAGGCGCTTCACCCTGTTGCCTTCCTTACCATTGGAAGGAGTTTGGCGGCCAGAGTTGATCCTGCTTCGCGTAGGGAGCGAGCTCCTCTTGGAACTCAGGCGAGGAGGAATGTTCTCTGGGGCGAGAATGGGCCAGTTCTCCAGGGTCGGGCTCGGCGTAAAGGCATCCACCAAGGTGCGCGCAGCCTTGGGAGGCGAGTTGGGGTCTACCACCTGCGCCACAGGCGGACTCGGCAGCGGTTTCTCGCTTTGAGGGCGACGAGGGAGGCGTGAAGTGCCCGTAGGCGTCGTCGTCGCGCGCGTTGCCGGCGACAATGCCCTCTCAGGCAGCGGACTTCTCACGCCAAACGAGGCCGGCCGTATGCTGGGTATCTTTGATTTGTTAGCGCCCGTCATGTTAGCATGTGTTGACAGCTTTGACAAGCTGTCAGGAGGTCACAGCAAAGAGGTTCGGCACGTGTCGGGGCGAGGCGGTCGCGATGCGGTGGGAAGGCGCCTGAAGTTTCTGTTGTAGCTGCCAGATCTGGAGTTCTGCGCACGGACGCGTCTACTCATAGAGGAGCAGTGATGGTGAAAGAGGAAGTCCGGACACGTGCAGTGCACTCCTACTCTTTCTGGCATCGCTGGTGAAAATCACACACCGTCCCATGATTTCGGTGTCAACTTTGATGACCCGTCCCCGGGTTTTGGCCATGTTCTCTACATCACGTTGTGCAGTGTACAGAAGAGGAGAGTGGAAGTCGCGATGTGTGAGGTCATCAAAGCTCGGGCCATGTTCCGTTTGCGAAAAGGCCAGCCAGACGCGTCAGGATGCACCAACCCTTGCACTGTATAGCAGACGACCAACTCGCGCAACGCTCTTTCTAGCATCATGGCGAAGACATACAAGCAAATGAAGGAGGCCTGGGTGTCTGGACACACCGGGAGCTCCGTAGCAGACGTGAACAGCGTCTCGCTCGCAATGCCTGTACCGTACACACACCCACTACTCAAGCAATGCACTCTTACTAACCGCATGCACAGCTGAGCATCCTACTTTGGTCCGTCATCCAGTCGCGCATGCGCCTCTTCACGCCGTACACGCCGCCTGCCTTCCTCGTCGACTTCCTGCTCAACTGCGGTGCCACGTTGTTCGCGACTACCATATACTCATCCTCGCCATGGGTCCTGAATCTCCTTCTGCTGCTCCCGGCAATCACGTTATACGTCTTCGAGAAACCGGTCGCGGTGAAGGACGCTCCAAGGCCGCCGAAGATCGATAAGTCGGTAAAGGACACGAAGCTCGATGCGCTGCCCGTCAAGCCGTTTATAACGAATTACCGGGGCGCGATGATGGTTATAACGTGTGTTGCTATTCTGGCAGTCGACTTCCGCGTCTTTCCGAGGCGCTTCGCGAAAGTAGAGAATTGGGGTACATCGCTGATGGATATGGGTGTGGGATCTTTCGTCTTCACAGCTGGGGTGGTGTCTGTCCGGGCGTCTCTCAAGGAAGGAGCTGGTCTTCAGCCACTGTCAAAGCGCTTGACAGCATCGGTCAGACATGCCATCCCACTGCTGGTTCTAGGCATCATACGACTCATCTCTGTAAAAGGACTGGACTATGCCGAGCATGTCACGGAGTATGGTGTACACTGGAACTTCTTCTTTACCCTAGGCTTCCTTCCCCCATTCGCCGCTCTCTTCCAGACGGCCTTTGACTTGGTACCTTCCTACGCCATCCTCTCTTTTTCTCTGGCTGCCGTCTACGAGATTGCTCTGGACTGGACTTCCCTCGGATCCTTTATACTGATAGCTCCACGAACGGATCTCTTCTCTCAGAACCGAGAAGGCATATTCTCTTTCTTCGGCTATCTCGCCATTTTCCTTGCAGGCCAATCTTTGGGCGCCTCCGCACTACCTAGGCAACAGCAGATCCCAAAGGATGCGTCATTCCAGACGAAGCTTCGGCAATCCACATTCGGAAAGCTGATCATGACCTCCATGCTTTGGACAGGGTTATTCTACTTCTCAACTAGCTACTACGGTCTTCGACTCCCTGTATCGCGCCGCCTAGCCAATCTGCCCTATTTCCTCTGGGTCTCGTCGTTCAACAGCTACCAAATTACCATTTGTTACGCTATCGAAAGTATCCTCTTTCCGAACTTGTACAAAGCTACGACCAAAAGCGAGGAATCGCGGAGAAGCAGGGATGCTACCAGCACTGTTCTTTATGCTTTCAACCGCAATGGTCTTGCAGTCTTCCTTGTGGCGAATCTGCTCACGGGTTTGGTTAACATGACGTTCCCGACCTTGCACATGAGTGTTGTGCAGTCCATGGCAATACTCGTCGCATACATTGCTGCGGTCACTGCAGTTGCGGTGGGCCTAGACATGTACAATCTTACTATAAAGCTGTAGACTTGCTGTTCGTAGACTACTGCAATGCGACTACTAAGGAATTTATCCACTTCAAGCCTTCTCATGATTGAGAATCATAGAAGTACATTACTCCGTCTCGTAAACCGCCACCTGTTCGTAAATCTTCCCTCATAGATGCACCGAAGCGAGATCACTACATATCTGTCACACCTTCTCCGGGTCGTTGATACCGCCGTTGGTAATGATGTACGTCGCCTCCTTCTCCGGCATGTCTAACGCAGTCTGTCAGTAGAGGTAGCAAGAGTAGTAGCAACGAAGGATGACATACCGGGAGAGTCTTGGATCTTGGCAACACGCTCCTCACCCCGACCCTTACGGAGCAGAATCCTCGTAGCAGAGGCGTGAGCAAGAATGTGGCCACCGATCGGCTTGCGACCGTCTGCGCCAGCGAAGAGAGCGCTCGCACCAGGGTCACTCTGAACTTGGTTTGTCAATAGCACAGCGACATTGAACTCTGAGTGATGTTAGCAGATATCAAAGATTGGGAGTAATCTATCGCGCACCTTCAGCGACATGCGTTAACTTGGAGAGGAACTGGTTGAGCTTCTGCTGGCGCTCATTCAGTTCACCTCGACCTGTATAATCGACACGAAACAGGGCCATGATGCTGTCGATGATGAGTAGTCGGTACTCGTTGCTGACGAAGAACTCGGCGACTTTGTTGAGCAGCTCCATCTGATGCTCCGAGTTAACAGCGCGAGCATAGGTGATGTTGTCTTGGGCTATGGACGGTCAGTAGAGACGCGATAGGGATGTGAGAACGGTACCCACCAGTCTCAGGGTCGACTCCAAAGCGCTCAGCGATTTGGGCTATCCTCTCAGGCCGGAAGGTACCCTCGGTATCTGCATTGTGGTCAGCGGCGTTCGAAGAGAGCGACATCCAACGTACCGATGTATGCTACTTTGCCTTCTGCACCACCCATATCCTTCGGCAGCTGCGCAATGACGGACATGGTGTGTGACAACTGGGTCTTTCCGCAGCGGAACTCTCCGAAGACCTCACTGATGCTCATGGTTTGGAAGCCACTGTTTACCGTCAGCGGCAACCCAAAGAGAATCGACTGGGTGTGCACTCACCCTCCGAGGACTGCATCGAGTGCCTTGCTACCAGTGGAGATCTTGATGACACGCTTGCGTAGATGCCCGAGCTCATGGGCGGTCTGGAAGCCTCCACCAGAAGGCTGCGACGTATGTCAGTGATGCGCACTCAAGTGATGGCCTACTGCAGTGACGTACCTGGCATTTGGCGATGGCGTCCTTGACTTTGTCGACCTTGATCTCACTGAAGCCCTTGATCTTGAGGAGGTTGCGACGAGTAGCCGAATGCACGGATGCGATCGTATAGTAGCCGTTTGACTTGAGCTTCGAGATGTCGACAGCGCCGATGCCGTGCGCCTGGATCGCATCGATGTCGACGATGAACCCATCCTATACGTGGTTAGCCAAGATCCCTCTTACTGTAGAAAGAGGCAGTCACTCACATCGTTGTTCGAGTCGTCGCTGGCCACTGAAGAAGCACCCATAGTAACTGCTGGTGATAACTGGCGCGAGTTGAGATGAAAAGGAACGATACGAACGAATTGCGAATGATGTGTTTGCGAGTGACGCTGCGAAGAATGCGAGGAGAGATGAGAGAAAATTCTACGGAGGTGAGATTGTGGAGGGAGGCATGATGGGAAGGAGCGCTAGGCTCAACTCCACGTGTATGACTGAGAGGAAGGAAGGGGTAGCCACCACCAACACGATGGCCTCCAACCCTGAAATAAAGCTGAACGTGCACCGGCTCGATCGTAAGCAGAATCCGAACACAAAGACGGTGATGTATGTCCCAGTCTAGTATGTCCATAAATCGCGACAACTCTTAAATTTGGGCAGCTCAGATGCTTACGGCCGCGACCGGTTACAGCAACAAAGTCAGACCTTGGCAAGTAAAATTTCATGATTGCATATATTCGAAATAGATGATACAATCTAGATCTATCATATGCAAGCACAAAGTGTAAACATGATAACAGACAGATATACCGACTCAGCTCCCGACAAACACACACAGTCTCCTTCACTCTTCCCCCTCAACCCCGGGGGGCACTCTTTCCACACCAAACCACCACAGCCGCCTCCAGCTCCATAAGCGAACCTGATCTATCCAAGCAAATTCGCATCAACAACGCTTCTGCCGAAGCCGCAGTCGATCCAAATCACTTGCATGCAGACAGGCCGCCGTCCAAATCGCCAAGCCGTCGTCTGTCGAAATAATGGTAGAATGGTTGAAGTAAGGGATACAATGTTCGTGGGGTATCAGTGTAAGAATCGTGAAGAACTTTTGCCGTATCCGTTGATGACTCGTGAATGCGTGAGATATGCCGATATGATGCTGAGATTGGCCAAGAAAACGATTGTGATGAAAGACAAACTAAGGGAAGGCATGGAAATGCATGCCAGGTAAGCCAGTGGTCGCCGTGATATTACTCGATGGTGGACCTCTGGCGAAGCTCACAGTCGTCTAAGCGACAGTAGCGGTGGGGGCAGCGGCCGGGACGGGAGCAGCAGCGACAGGGGCAGCGGTAGCATCGCCGTTGACCTCAGCCTGTGTGCAGTCGCGGGAGATGTGACCGGTCTCGCCGCAGCGGTAGCAGGTCTTGCCGGCAGTGTTCAATGGGCCGCCGTTGGGAGCAGTGCAATCGCGGGAGATGTGGCCTGGTTTGGTCAGAAATGTAACTAGAAATGCGCTCAGTTTACTCACCAAGCTTGCCGCAGGCGTAGCACTTCATGGCTTGGGCCTGGCAGTCACGGGCAAAGTGATTGGGTCCACCGCACTTGTAGCAGGTGGCCGGGCGAGCGCCGCCAGCGAAGCCGCCACGGAAACCTCCTCCGTATCCGCCACGGGGAGCACCAGCGCCGCGACCCATTCCAGGGTTGGGGCAGTTGCGGGCAAGGTGACCGGCGATACCGCAGCTGTAGCAACGTCCGCTTGTGCCGGCTCCGCTCAGGCGCAAAGTCGGGCAGTCAGCCTGGACGTGTCCGAGACCCTGGCAGTGGTAGCACTGCTTGGCTGTTCCTTTGTCAGCCCTTCATTCTCTATATGTATAGCCCCCTGTGTTCTCGACATGCGCCAGGACTCGGGGTGACGTACTCTCGGTGGTGCGTGGGTGCGGGCATCCGTTGGACTCGTGGCCTGGCTGCTTGCCTGTGCAAAGGTTAGTCCATAGTCGCAAGTGGTGGTTAGGTGTGGTCTTACAGTTGTAGCAGAGCCTCTCAGACGAAGAGCAGACCTCTGCGCGTTATTGTTAGTCGCATCATCTTGTGGAAGTTGCCTCGTTGCGCGAGGTCACGCGATGCAGATACCGCAGCCAGAGACGATGTTCGCGATACATGTCCCGATCATGCGACTGCAGCGCGCGCGCCGAGCAGATGCGCGGATATCGCTTACCGGCGTAGTGGCCAACGTTTCCGCACTTGAAGCACGCACGACGAGATAGAGAAGACATGATGATGTTTCTCTGCGTATATCTGGGCAGCGTATAAGTATGTAGTCGGTGGTTGTGTGAGCAGCGAGGAGGAGTGGATCGCGAATGAGGGGCGGTTGGTGGTGTGTTTGCTGCGACGTGTGCTTTGATCCTCTGGTTTGCTCGAGGGAGTGCGCGCCGAACAGCAGGATTGATAGGCGCACGTACCTGCTTCGTTTACTTCTTCAATTTCTTCACCTGCGTTCGCCAGTCAGTCGCAGATTTTTCGAGGGGCTGTTGTCGAGGGGTAAAGACTGCGGACGGAGCACGCGCCAGGGCGGAACCTCGCGCGCACCCTCGAGCCGGAGGAGTTCTCGGCAGGCGCAACCTACTTTCTTTCAACTTTCCAGACCTTCTTCCCGCTGCAACACTTCTTCAACCTCCTGCCAGTGGTGTATGTGGTGAGAGAATGAGGGGATCGTGGAATGTTCGGGCAACGGGCAAAATGCATCTCCCATGACGGTGGTCCCTGCTCCGTGCGCTAGCGAAATGCGCAATCTGGTTCTTCCCGAGGTCGAAAGTGCGTCCCAAACGGCCCCCAATTGCATCATGCGACGTTTCAAACGACTGCAACCTTACCCTCTTCACCCTAGACGACTTCCGTCTCCTATCCTCGTGCAGCAAAGGCGCTTTCCTCATGCCGTCGGCCCCTGACCTATCTTTTCCAGTTCCTCCGCTGCTGCCGCCAGCTCGAGAACTATGTTTCTGCCCCGCTTCATGACACCATTGCCGCAGTCGCATGTCTGGAGCTAGGACATAAAGTTAGCTTCTCCACAAGTCAGTTAGTAATCACCCTTTGGGAGGTCCAGATATGTCAGAGGCGCCGAAGAGGCAAGTGGCCGATATATTCATAAGTATTCGTGTCTATGTATTATTCAACGCCAACAGTAGTGGAGCTTCTGTTGTAAGTGTGGGTGGCCATATTCCTTACTCTACTGTGTCGTTCCGAAGAGAAGGTCTCGGGGCGTTTGCACGTTGCATCGAGATTTGTAGGTCTTCTAGTCTTCAGACTCGATGACCGCAGGTGCCTTGATTGTCCTGCTCTTGAGGAAGTCAAGGCCTTCGCCACCCTGTTTTCGATTAGCATATAGTCTCATATCTCAAACAGCCTCGAGAACTTACGTAGGAGATCAATGGTGAAACTTCGACGTAGGAGTCGGAGTCCTCGCTAACGACAGTCGCACCGGCGGCTTGCACCCATTTCCTGCCCTGGGTCATGATGTCCGCCTTGCTGGTATCCGGGTCGTCTTCACCAGTTCCGCGAGCGTTCTTCAAGGGCGAGAACTCGTCCTCACGCTTCACTTCCATGCATGCAAACTTCTCGAGAGTCAGGAAGGGGAAGCAGTCAAAGACAAACTGCTCCAGCTTGATGCCATTTGGCTTCTCTGGCTTGACTGTCTCTCCGGTCTCGGTGTTGACGAAAGGAATCTTCTTGCGGGCGACGTGGTGAGGCAGCTTCTTTGCCCACTCTGGAATGCTCTCGAGAAACTTGTATGAGTAGTAGTGGTTGACAATGTTGGCAGCACGGAACTTGAGCAGGCTGGAGTCCTTGGAGTCCTTGGCCTCTGCGTCCTCGGTAGAGATTTCCGAGTATTCGACAACATCTGGCTTGCCGTTCTTCTGCAGGATGAGACCAACGGACTCCTTGGCGTTGCGCTTGCGGACGACCTTGGTAGCAATGTCCACGTTCTTCGAGGCGGAGAAACCGATGAAGACGGGGTCGGCGACCTTGACGAGGCAGTTGTCGACACAGTAAGCGTGAATGTGCTGGATGCCGCGCTTGCCCATGTCTTGTACGACGCCGGACTGGATGAGAGCTTGGTAGAGACCGCCATTGCCATCGGGTGCGACGGCGACCTAGTTATTCTTAGTATGTTGTCCTGGTCTAACAGTACCCTGGATGAGAGCGAACGTACCTTTGACTTGCTCTCCAGCAGGATCTTGCCCTCGTTCGAGATGCATGGCAGGACACCCTGCTCGAAGATGACGACGTTCTCCTTCTTCAGGCCAAAGTAGTTGTGCTTCTCGAAGAAGTCGGCGGTAGGGCCGCGAGTAGGCCCGCTGGTCATGACGTACCACGGGATGGTTACGCTCTCCTTGTTGTGCTTCTTGGCGGCCAACATCTCGGCCTTCCTGATCCTCTCACCCTGCAGCTGGAACAGGCTCTTCTTGCTAGGAAGGCCAATGTCGAAGCATCCCTTGGGCGCTGAGCTACCCAGACGGGTGCCCTGGCCACCAGCCATGAGCACAACCGCGACCTTGTTCTCGGCGATCAGGTCCAGTCCGCTGTCGTACCACTTGTCGAGGTCCTCCTGGGAGGATGAGAGGACGGAGGATGTGGCATTCTCGGGGAGGGGCTCGAGCTTGTTCTCGCTGGCTTCGGTCTCGGCGGGGTGGAGGGCTCGCTCGGTGATTTCGTTGATGTAGTCGGGGCTGAAGTTGCTCAGCTGCTCGAAGAGGGTTGCCTTCTCGGCTGTGGAGAGCTTGTCGTAGAAGGCCTAATTGCGTCTGTCAGTAAAGATGCATGTGATGAGCACAAGTCCTGGGGCACGTCGCGGGGTTGAGCAAGCCATGCAGTGCTCACACAGTCCAGCGAGGTGCTCCCAGACTTGCAACACCAACGCCCGGGCTGCACTTACAAAAACCTGCTCTTGGCCAGCCTTCTGGTACTTGGCCTTGAGCTCGTTCAGCTGCTCCTCTGTTGGCTCCTTCGCCGGTGTGCCCTGGGGTGCGCCCCCGGTGATGTTGAGCTTCTCGAGCGCGCTGTTGACGGTATCCTTAATGGCGTCCATGGTGATGCGGGGTATTGGCGGGGTAATTCGTGCAATGCAGAAAGAGGTTGCAATTGATCTCGAAAGTGTATGCTTGATATACACACTGAATTCGTGGAAAGGTACAGTTTTGCTGGCTCACCGCGTCCTTATGAAGATTCGACTGCAGCATAGCACTGACGCCTCGTGTTGCCCCACTCGGCGTGCGTCCCTGCTGCACATGGGTGCGATCGAGCCTCCCGAGATCGTCAGCGCCCGCGTCACTAATTTTAGACCTGTTGTGTACCCTTCGTATTTCAAGAGCTGCGACTACATCGTAAAGCTAGCAGTATGGCCAGTCGCTTAATGCCATTCATAACTACACAATCCCAACCAGAGCCTCTAGTTGAGCAAACAACGAGCAAAATATATGCCGCTTCAGCGAAATGCTTAACACCAGGCCATCCAAAAAGCAAGCCATATGCAACTCCCGCAACGCCATGACGTCGTGTAACCATCTTACTAATGTCCGTTGACCTCCGCCTTCTCGGGCTCAGCAGGCTTGAGCGCTTTCTGCGGCGCTGGGTTCAGTATGCGAGTGGCGTCGATCAAGCCGGCGTTGGGGTTCAGCTTAAGACCAAAGCCTGGAAGGTCGAGAGTCTTGACGTCGAGATATCCCTTGGTGGGAATTGGCTCGTTGGTGAAGCTGCACAGCATTAGCACAACACTTTGCGCGAGCGGAAGGGAAACTTACAGGTTGCCGAACACGGGCAACACAGACTTGCCATCTGGTGAGTTCGCGAGGTACTCTTGGAAAGGCGAGTTGGCCTGAGAAACGACGAAATGGTACGAGTATGGTCCACTGGCGTGAGGAACAACGGGAATATCGTAGGCAGCAGCCATGGCCGAGATCTTGATGAGCTCAGTCATACCGCCAACCCACATAACATCGGGTTGAAGAATGTCTAGGTTGCGGCCTTCGATGAGTTTCCTGAAGCCATATCGTGAGTACTCGTGTTCGCCAGTGGTGAACTTCATGCGGGGGTGAGCGCGCTTGATCTGCTCAAAGCCGTCTGAGTCGTCGGGCGACAAGCACTCCTCCCACCAGTTCAAGTTGAGGTGCTCAGTGGCCTTGACCACTTCGATGGTGTAGGGTACGTTCAAGCTCATGTAGCAGTCGACCATGAGGGGAAAGTCTGGCCCCACGCTTTCGCGATGCTTGGTGAGGAATTCGACATTCTTCTTCAAGCCTTCGACACCCTCACCAGGGCCGTACGGGAGTGGAACTTTAGCGCCGAAAAAGCCCATCTCCTTTGCTGCCGCTGGCTCGGGACCAGTGCAGTAGAAGTTGAGCCTTTCCCGGGTTGCTCCACCAAGCATCTTGTATACGGGCTCGTTGCGAATGTGGCCGAGCAGATCCCAAATAGCAAGATCGATGACCGAGATGACAGCGACTGGAAGACCCTTGCGACCGTAGAACATGGACGCGCGGTACATTTGCTCGAACATGTGATTTGTGTCTCTGGGATCTGGCTTGGATCAGAATGAAGACTCGTAGCGTCGCACAAATGGATACTCACCTTGGCCTATTAAGAAGCGCTCAAAGTGTTCAGCGACTAGCCAGCACGCTGGCGGCCCTCCAAAGCCAGTAGCGAAACCTTTGGTGCCGTCGCTGGCCTCGAGCTCTACACAGAAAGACCCCAGAACATTGATTCCCCAGCTGGTTCTTGACTTTCGGTACTGCTCATATCCGCTCATGGGAGTGGATATCTTGCTGTCGATGAGCCAATGTCCGCCAGCGACATTATGGTAGTCTCCGCCGCTGCCGGGGCCCTGTGTTATGAATGTTCGCACGTGTTTGATGGTCGGGAAGGAGCGCGCTGCGCCAGAGTCTTCGGTGGAAGGCATGATCACGTCAGGGAGAGGAGTGTGGAATCGACAAAGTAGAAGATCACAGAGTATAGAGGAGGGGTAGATAAGTGCACGGAAGGTCAGAAATGGTATTTAAACCGCGGGACAGCGGCGTGCCAGGCTTCGCGTCTGATCAAGAGGGTCCCTCGGTCCATCTCGCTGCGATTTGCGACGATTTGCGACGACTTTGGAAGAGCCATTGATACCTGGGCTAAGAAGTGGAGCGCGAACGCGTGAGTAGGCGTCGCTGTGAGGCGTTCGGCACCCAGGTCGGAATGTGGACAAGGCCGAAGCATGTGTTTTTGCTGACGAGTATTGTACCGAAAAGCCAGCGGCCCACTCGGTGCCACCAATCGAAGGATGCGGAGGGCGCGCTTGCCGGTCTATACGATTTACGATATCTGGGGTAGGGAACTAGAGCGTGCAGGCGGGGCTGCAAGAGTAGAACCCTCGGTGTAGCTCTTCCGAACCTGCACGCCCCCAATCGCATTCGCTTTCATCATCATGGACGCCAGCACAACCCACCAGCAGGCGGCAAGTCCAAACGGCACTGCGAAGCTCTCCAACCACTCTCCTGGCGATGCGCAAGACTGGAGTGGTGATGATCGCTCCAGCGACGAAGAAGCCCACGACAGAAGCCAAAGCGGCACGTCGAACAAGCGGAAGCGGCCGCTTTCTGTGAGTTGTGAGACATGCAGTAAGTGTGACACAACATGATGAGGCTGTTGAGGCTCACCATGCGTAGAGCAGCGAAAAGTCAAATGCGACAGAGGCGCGCCTGCCTGTTCCTGGTGCTTGAAGAACCACTCAGCATGCGTCAGTTGCGCCATCCACTGACATCACCCCCAATACTCAATCGCATCAGGTCTACCTTCCGCGCAAGAAGCCCGGCCTGCGCGCTGGCTATGGACGGGAGCTCGAGTCGAGACTTGGTAAGTTGCGCATCCTCACCACCCTGTTCTGGAGTAGCCGAGGTCTGGATAAGCAGACTGAAGTTTGCCGTCATCGCTGGCAAACCTCGCGCGCCCACAGTCACGACAGTGCCCAGGTGGGACTTGATGGAGGTCACGACTGTCGCGCAGCTTGACTAAGCGGGCGCTCCTTCTGTCCGCCAGCCAGAGACCCTACAGGGCAATCGCGACCACAGCTGACAATCGTCCCTTCCTCAGACAAGCTCGAAGCGCTCCTCGTCCAGCAGCAGTCGCAAATCAACCATCTCTCCAGCACCCAAGTCGCCACGTCCGGCCCGTCACCGCAAGAGGTAGCCGCGTTCCGAAGCCCGCCCGTCATCCAAACCCCCCATATACCGCGTCCCGAAACGGCCCTCTTCATCCAGAAGCCCACGTTCCCTTCGCAGAGCGCAATACAGAACCAATATGGCAACGGCGTCACGGACAACAGACCCACCCCCTCGGTCACGGGGAATGGCTACCAGTCCGAGGATGTGAGCATGAGCGGTGGCTTGTCCAGAGATGGCTACACACCATACAATGAGCAATACCAGCCGGCCATATCGAGGACTCTCGGCCACGCGGATGCCGACTTCCCACCGTACGACCTTCTGTATGGCCTCGTCGATCTTTTCTTCAAGCACATCAACACCTGGTGTCCCATCCTCCACCGCCAGAGCACGCTGAACTCACTTTTCGGAGACGCGACGCTAGAAGAGGCCGATCGAATCATACTACACGCAGTTGTCGCAACGACTGTCAAGTTCTCTACCGACCAGCGCTTGTCTGCCGAGAAGCGCACGCGCTACCACAAGAACTCAAAAGAGAAGGTCCTGCTGTATGGCATCGAGAACAGCTCTGTAAAGTCGTTGCAGGCGCTTGTGATCCTCGCTCTGGACGTTGTTGGCTGCTCCAATGGCCCTCCCGGCTGGAACCTTCTGGCTCTTATTACGCGCTCAGTCGTCCAGCTAGGACTGTCGGTCGAAAGCTACTCACCGAGCGTCGCTCCACAATTTGCGTCAATATACACTTTGCGCGCCATGACGCTACCTGAGCCCAAGGACTGGATCGAGGAAGAGAGCCGACGCCGCCTTTTCTGGATGATTTACGTCCTAGACCGGTATGCGACCGTTGCCACGGCTTTCGAATTCGCTCTCGACGAAAAGGAGATCGATCGTCGGTTGCCGTGTCGCGACGACATGTATGCGCGAAACGTGCCCGTCGAGACGCGATGGTTCCACACTTCGACAAGATCTGACTACAGCATGAACAGACCAGAAAACTTAGGCTCCTTCTCATACTACGTCGAAGTCCTAGGGATTCTCACACGCATCCACAAATTCCTCAAGAAGCCTGTAGACATTACATCGTTGTCCGACGTCGAGACCTGGCAAAGCGAGTATCGTGAGCTTGACAATGCCATCGAGCAATGGAAGTACAATCTTCCTCAAGAATTTGGCAACTCTGCGAGATTGTTTGCAAAGCCGGGTATGGGACAGAATTTGGACAGTGGTTTGGTGATGCTCCATGCGGCCTTCCACACGTAAGTTTGTCTTCCCTTTGCCTTAAGGAAGAAACTAACTCTGGCAGCACTGTGATTCGTCTTCACTCATCTGCGGCGTACCCTACCCATCGTTCACCCATCTTCACACCGTCCTTCAGCGCTAGCCAGCGGTGTCTCAGTGCTGTTGAGAATATCACAGCCTTGTGTGCTACCGTACGCGACAACGGTTTGCTGAGCAAACTTGGCCCGCCCTTCGCATTCTCGCTCTGGGTAGCCGCACGTGTTCTCTTGGTCCACGGATCCACCATCGATCACCGAGTCGATCAATCCATCAACCTCCTGGTCAGCACTCTCCAGGACATGGGTCAGTACTGGGAAGTAGGCACGCGCTATGCAAGTCTTCTTTCACGCGTACTTTCCGAATATCAAGAGAGCCAGGACACCCCCGCTGGTGCGAATGGTGAACGCGTGACACCTTCAACCGTCAAGATCCTCGCCGACATGCGACGATGTGCATTTGATCTCGACTTCCTCATATCCCGTCAACCTAAGCTCAGCAACAAGCAAAATCTGAAGATACCATCGGTGACTCCAGCTCGAACACCTGCAGCGAATGAGCTAGAGTATCTCGATGTGTTCGACTTCTTCAACATGCCTCGACTCCCTGTGTCGATAGACGGAGCCATGAGTTACCCTGCGCCAGACGGCAACATACAATTACCGGACGGCGGGTTTGGAAACGAGTCGAACATTACCAACTACATGGTCGATGCGAGCTCAGATTGGTTTATGAAGCAGTCGGCATAATATTTCTTTTTGTGTCTTGGGTGCACGGGAAATGGACTGTAAAAGTTGGTTGATCTTTCGGTACATAACTATGCGTTTTGGACCCTGTTCATAGTCTTGTCCATACAATCTCTTCTTACTTTGAATGATACCCTATTTTATCTCTCATAGACTCGGCTGTCTTATCACCAGTGATCTGTGCATGCAATGAGTCCAAGCAGCTCGATGTTCAGGACCGTCCCTGGGCGTGGCTTGTAGTGTACGCTTGTCCGGAACCGCTCATTCCGATCGGAATGCCATCGGTGCGTTATCTGCATCCTCACTCGACCTCTGTAATCAACACTTGACAACACTTTTCGCTGGTCAAGCATTACTGTCCTCTCATCTACTGTAGTCTACGCAATTGCTTACATACTCTACCACGAGTGGGTCGATTTGGGATTCGTACAAGACTGTGTAGAAGACAGTCGCCGTTTACCGTCGGAATAGCCTGGTGAGACTCGGGATACGGGATAGCGTACAAGGTATGGGTGAATCTTACTCCGCCGAACTGAACGTACAAGAGAGATGAGTCATTGACATTCATATAGCTCTGTGCAATCCTTGAGCATTTGATACCCAGACTGAATTCAACGAAGAACTCGCATTTCGGTCTGAATATCGTCAAAGCATCTCGTCATCATCAACACCCTCAAACATCTCCCATATCGAAGCTATCTATTATCATCCAACCACCCATCATGGCTTCCGAAAAAGACCAACAACACGTCCTCATCCTCGGTGCTGGCGTAATCGGTCTAACAACCTCACTCGTCATATCCCACACGTACCCCACTGCCAAGATAACCGTAGTAGCAAAGCACTTCCCCGGAGACCGCTCCATAGAATACACATCGCCCTGGGCGGGCGCCAACTGGTCTTCTATGACCCACGACAACGGGCCACTTGAGAAATACGACGAGGTCACCTTCCACCGTTTCGGCGAGCTTATCGACGGGAAGAGTGTATTTGGTTGTCAGACTCTGAAGGCTGGTGAGACGGAAGGCATCGATGGGGTAAATGGAGGGGGCAATGAGGCGGGGCTGGGGAGAATGGGTATGTGGGCTGCATTCGACGAGCCGATTGAAGAGGCGGGTGTTTTGACTGAGGAGACGGGGAAGGTATGGTACGATCAGTTAGTCGGGGGTTTGAGGAAGTTGGGTGCAAGTGAGCTGCCCAAGGGAGCGAGCTTTGGGTTCGAGTTCCCAAGTACGTTCAGGATCAACACCCAGGTTTATCTGCAGTGGTACGTATTCCTGTTCCTCATTCCCATGATGCAAAGTCCTAGCTTCAGTGCCATTGATACTTCGCGAGACTGATCTTGTACCAGGCTCCAAGCTCAAGCTTTGTGCAAAGGCATCAGTCTCGTGCGCCGACACTACCCTTCCGTCTCAGAAGTCCTAAGCGACCACCCATCCACCACCCTTCTAGCGAACTGCACCGGTCTCGGCTCCCTCAAACTCTCCGATATCAAAGATACGAATCTATACCCAACACGTGGTCAAACACTACTGGTCGCCGAACCCAAAACGCCAATCACCAGAATGTATGAAATGGAACGAGTCAAGTACGACCATGCTATCCTACTTGCCTTCCTCCGCCCACCTGACTATTTTCTGTGTATTCAGTTTGACTGACGGTTTGAACTAGGTTTTTCCGATCTCCAAAGAGAATCGATCCCACGACAACCTACGTCTTCCCCCGTCCGCTAGGCGGCGGCGTGATTCTAGGTGGCAGTCGACAGGACAACGATTGGAGTGAAGAGTGGGATGAGGAACTCGGTCAGGATATCATGAAGCGGTGCTGTGAGTTGTGTCCTGAGTTGGGGAAGCCGGAGGATCTGCAGGTTATTGGGCGGAATGTGGGCTTGAGGCGTAAGTGTTATCGTGCGAGTCAATTCATGGGGGCTGGCTGACAGTATCTAGCGTCCCGTAAGGGCGGCCCGAGAATTGAGACGGAAATGGGCAGGTGGAAGGTCCCGGTTGTGCATTGCTATGGGCATGCTGGGGCGGGATATCAGTCTTCGTGGTGAGTACCCTGAAGCTCGGCTGTGTCGACAGTACAATACTAATGTTTCTTGCAGGGGCACCGCCGAGCGCGTCGTTGAGCTCGTTCAGAAGATGCTGACGCCCAGCTCGAAGCTATAAATGCTACATTAGACACTCTCAGCTGATCCAAACCAGGGTTGACTTCACCCAGCCAGCTATCATTCCAACTCCACTCTTGCTTAGCTCACATCTTCTCCTCTTTCCTCCCCTCATCCCTACTATTCCACTCCCGATCAAAAACCTGCAAACTCCTCTGTGCAGTAGGCACGACATCCAACGCCTTCACACTAACCCTATCCTTCTGACTCAGCATGAACGCTGCAGCTTCCGCAACATCTGGCGCAACAAGAGGCTCGAAGCCCGACATGAAAGTGTCGTAGCTCTGCTTTTCGTATCCAACACTGCATATCGTGTCAGCTCGAAGCACCGTCGCAGCACTAAAACAAGAAAGGGATCATACCGTTGTTCATGGAAGTTTGTTGCTACAACACCGGGCCGTAACGCGAGAACTTTGATATCAGTACCCACTAACTCCGTCCTCAGCACGTTGGTGAAAGCCTCCTGGCACGCTTTGCTAGCATGGTAGACAGCCTCGCCTGGGAACGGCGGTACCTCCAGTCCCGTGGTGCTGGTCACGTTCAGGATCGTCCCCTTGCCACGCTCCTTCATCTTTCCCTCGTTCAAAACCGTATAAGCAGCGAACATGTACCCATTGATGTTGGTGCTCGTCATTGTGATGATATCTTGGATCTTGAGGTCGGGGAAGCGTGACGGCGCACCTATAGCCAAACCGGCGTTGTTGATTAGAACATCGATGTGGGAGACTTGCTGGACGATGTTTGAGACGGCGGTGCTGAGGGATGTGTGGTCTTGTACGTCGACGACTGATGTGAAGATCTTCAGGTCTTTGTGTTCTTTTCTGAGTTCGTCGGAGAGGGCCTTTAGCTTGTCGTCTGAGCGTGCAAAGAGGATGAGTGTTGCGCTTTCAGCGGCTAGTCGACGTGCAATAGCTGCGCCGATGCCCATCGAAGCCCCTGTGATGAGGACGGTTTGGTCTTTGAGTGACATGGTAAGGAATAGAAGTATGAGGATGAGATGGACGGATGAATTGAGATAACAGTTCACTTGATGTGAACACTCGGGACTGTTTTGTTACGACTGACCGTGAGAAGACGATGAGAATGACAATGATTACACAGGGAGTACATGTGCGGAGGATGAACATGCTAGTAGGCTTTCGGTGGAGCAAGAATGACGTCATCAGCATCGCATTTGTCATCTATGAATGATGTCCGATGTGTATAACACGTTGCATTGGGTGTGTAGTAAATATAGTCCATAAGGGTATCTCTGTAAACAATCATTCTGACAGCGTGAGTCATGTAGCAAGTCAAAGGTCTCAGGCGTTGGCTTACAATTCGTATCTGGCATTGCCATCGCAGCGCGAGTCCGTATCTTGTGAAGAGCGCAACTTCCAGTCGCTTATGCTTATGAGCTTTAGACTTGGAATAGTCGAGGCATGTCGAAGAGTGTTGTTGGCTGTTCGGTAGGAATCATCAACCATCCCACCTCTGCGCCTCTTTGTTATAACCGATGAGCTTGAGGTCGATGTTGAGGGTCTTGAGCATCATGTCCATCGTGAACGACTGCATCAAGGTTAGTATCATGAAGTACGTGTACATCTCCGCGCACTCACATCATCGTCTGCTCCCTTGAACGTCTCCTTCTCCTCCTCTCCTTTGCCCCTCTCCGAGTCCATCTCGGCGTAGCGATCATACGCTTCTTCGGAAACCTCACCACTCTCTTTCGCCTCCTCCATCTTCTCACGTTCCGCCTCCATCTCTTCTTTATCCCATTGCATCTGCCGTTCCTTGGATTCTTTTTCACGTTCCTTCCATGCGCCTACCCCGCCCATCCTGTTGACCCTGTCTCTAGTGCTACCAAACAGCTCTTCCGCCGCCGCACGACTTGCTGTACGCCATTTGTCGACCAGTACGACCAGGTCGTCATCCTTTGTAGACGTTGCCAGGGTCTGAGCTTGTGTAAGCATCTGGATCTCATTGCGGATTTGCATGATCTCGCGTGCGACCGAGGGTTTCGACGGTGCCTTCTTCGACGCGACACGTGACGGGGTAGATAGGTTCGGACGTGAGACGAGAGGTTTCGAGACACGTGGTGTCACCTTAGACGTTGCTGGCGTTTTGGGGGGTTGCATAGAGGCGGTACAGGTGGCCGCTTGCTGTGCGCCATTGCCTGCAGGGGCGGTACTTCTAGCAGGAGCGATGGTTGTCCTAGGTGTATCAAGCGCAGGAGTGTGGACCTCAGGCGGATCTGAGGATGGCGGGTCGTCGCCTATGCTGGGCTTCAACGGTGTGCGGAACGGCGATTTGAACGGCTTCTGGAGCGTTTTCGTGGCTTCGTTCAGCCGGCGACGTTTGGCTTGCGGGGTCGACATCTTCGCGGGTGTTTGGGCATTGGTGTGGGTGGTCAATTCTCGAAGTGGGGGGGGGGGTGGTGAGTGTCTTGAGACTGGCGATGTCATCTGTCGCTTCTGATTGCGGATGGTCTGACGCGTCGCGCTAGAGCCTCGTCATCACGTGTCCATCAGGGTGTCTTTTCTAGGAACTGACGACCAGCAACTCTATCAAATCAGGTAGGTACGCAACTCATACGCGTTTTATGATAGACTCAATTTTTGGGACGAACGAACGTTGTATTGTGATAAGCACCATGATCTAAGCATATACATAGCACAGCGGCCCCGAGGTAGTAGAGAAGAACTCCTTGCTCGCGATGTGGTTCTGACCTGGCGGTGCCACCACATCCAACTCCTGCTGATCTGTCGGTTTACCTTTGGGACTGTTGGGTATCGACCAATGGGTGCCGCCTTCGTACATGCTTGTGCGAGACTTGACCTCCTTCTCTTGATACATGGCCCACATCCACCAGTGCCTGTCCAGCTGACCATGATGCAACCAGAAGGCTGGCTCCGCAGGGCTCACATAGACATCGCCTCCAGGATCACCCCAGATAGAGAAGTGACCGCCAATGTGCAACGCTGAAAGGCTGTTCGTCGCGTTGGTCTGGAGTGTGTCCTGGAAGGTACCAATGGCCTTATTGGTGGTGATATGGAATAGAAGATCTTGAGGCCGGAGGTAGCGCTCGGTGAAGAAGTTGCTTACGTCGCGACGGTGGCAACGTGGATTGTCACCATAGCCATCGGCGCGTGGGTTTGGTGGGATGTTGAGTTTAGGGTCCATGGTGGGCGCGAGGGGACCAAGACGAATGGTCAAATTGGTGAAAGGACCTTTACTGATACAGCCTCCTCCGGGTCCACCAGGAAGCGTCTCACCCGGCCATAGACTCATGCCTGCATGCGGTCCGATTGGATCACCATTCCCACCCATGCTCCATTCGTCGCCGTTGAAGATGGGGCTGTTAACGAGATCGGTGTACTTGGCCCAGTTCCAGTAGGGTCTGTGATGAGTAGGCGAGGTTAGTGTATGCTTTACACAAGATCTAAAGAAGAATACTCACTGGTAGCCTTTGTAGCCACATTCCGTGCGAAGCGCTGTTTCGTAAGCCCATATGTAGTAACGGTGCCAGTGCATGAAGTTTGCGGTGGCGTGAACCGTCGGTGTCATGTTCATATGCACCACAACAAAGTCTTCATAGCGAGACTTTGCTCCAGGATATTGACCAGCAGGAAGTTTGGAGGGCGCCTTGAGCATGCAATTGACGGCCGTGGTGTATGCTTTCCGTTCCTCTTTCGTGAGGTCGCCGCTATCGTGTGTTAGCATCATGACCGTGGCAGTGCCCAAATTTACTTACAACTCTTTGCGTACAGCAACAGTGTCCTTGTTACATGTCGCAGGCCTCGTCAGACCGTCTGACAGCGTCCCATCCAGTACCTTGTATGCATTTGCGAGAGCTTGCTTCTGGACGCCGTCGAGGGTAAGCGTGTCTTGCCTCTGAGTAAAAGGAGATGCTGAAGCGCTAGAGAACAGAGACAGAGATGCCACAAGGGCCTTGACAACCGCAATGCCTGCCATCGATTGATTTCTGGCGATTCAGCTAAGTGCGGATCTCAATGCTTTTATGTCGAGCACCATGATCAGCCTCCTTCTCCAATGCAGGCCAACATCAACCGTGCCATACTACTGCATGTGCTGGGTCATTTATTTAGAGGGTTGCCCGACGTGGGGCGAAGTTCTACAAAGCTCTGCTGTAATGAACACCCTTGGCATGCAACACACGTACCGACGAAATACTGCTGTGCAAGGGTGTTCCAATATCATGACTATCTCAACGAACAGCCATTCCTGTTCATGGGGTCTGCAGCATGCCATTCATGGTGGCCACGAGTGGTCACAGAGTCCATACTTTTGATGTCCAAGACCTGAGCTGCATCTGACCGCGTTGATGAGCGGCAGTCAACTGGAAGCGGTCAGCATCCTTGTATGCAATGTAAGGCGCCTGGTCAGGACTGTGAAATCAACTCCGATTTACTTTGAGATCGAGCTTTCCCCGTAATAAGCTCTAAAGGTTGTTTCTGTTGTGCGATGGCGAAGACCCTCGTGATACCTCGTCTCTTAGGTTGAAAGTGTCGAAAGCTACAAACAGGTTCAGACCAAGCGCCCGAAGCTCTTGATGTTCGTGGTCAGCGTACAAGTATGTGCCATTGGCAACAGGAAGATCGTCGTTGCCGTTATTCATCCCTTGCAAGCCAGATAGTCCCAACCGGACAATATGGCGTATGTAATACCGGCTATGATACCCCTGGTGTTCGGTAGGATTCTGCCGGGCGCAAGGTGTGTTTGCCAAGCTTGTACATGTTTCGATGAAACTGTAGGACATCAACATTGATTACTACTCAGTACACCTGAGGTGGTGGTATTCGTCAGCTGCGCCACGTAATTCTGCATCGAGGCATTCGCAAGGAGATGCGCGATACCTCATATAATGCACAGCGCGGCAGACTCTCCGGTAGTGTTCGCGTGTATGGAGGCGCATGGCGCTTGCTGAAAATGCATGCCGACGGAGGCTTCCATCAACTTCGCGCCATGCGTAAGAAGCCGGCCATTTATCTTCTCGTGAAAACTGGTGATGCTTAAGTAGATCAGCTTGGGAGAGCTTCGGCGACGTCCTTGGCGTCCAATTCGATTGATTGAAGGATCAGGATCCCTGGCGGTGCGTCGCCTTCGAACGAAAAGCACATCGAAGTAGATGGTAGATGGGGCGTATGCTTACAACCGGACGGAACACGGCATATGCCGAGGCCTGTCCTTGCTAGATTCAGATACTGTTGAACAAGTGTGGCGTGCGCTGTTGGATCGGGCTGCGAGCAAACCCAAGCAGAGCGGCGGAGCGGCGGAGCGAACGACGCAAATGGAACCCAATAGAGAGCATACTTTCGTGGCTTGAGGAGACGACTGACGATGCAATGACTGTTGGCGATCATTCCGATCTGCAGATGAGGGCAGCTCACACAGCTTGGACGGTGCGACATGTGGGACATGTTTCGGCTGTCAAGCGTGATGAAGAGGGGTAGAAACGACGAAGAACGGCGTTGTGAGAGCGGAAAGCTCTGCCGCACATCGATGCGTCACAAAATGATGCGTCCAAAGCATGCTGGGTGCTGCTGCCGTAATTTATGATGTTGCGGACGTAGTGAAACTGCGCTGTTACTTTTCCAACCCTAGAGGCAAATGTCAAAACATCAACCCCAGCAATTGCATTCTGCGTACGACAGACACTACAATGGACGATAAAGCCAAGGCATTCCTGGCTAATGTGGAAGGCGGAATCGTGCCAGTAACATGTCACGATGATGTCTTGCGAATCGCATACATTTATATCGATGAGGGGCTGTGGGACAGCCAGGGCGTATATGATGTTGTGGAGAAGCTGCACGCGCATGGCTGGTCTTTTGGTGAGGACGAGCTCCGCTTCAATCGGTAAGCTACATCCTCATATGAGAATCCCTCATACCGATGTACCCAGCACCTGCACGTGTGTGACTAAGATAAAACAGTACCTTGGATATATTTTATCTCGCCCAGATCGCA